TATTACAAAGTTATTTTGGACCATTTTCATGGTATGAATATGTATATGGTTACAGTGACAACTTCTAAGTGCAAGTACGGGCTCTGCTGTCAGGCTTTGACATAACTGGGTCCACCTTGGATTCCACTGATGGATGTTCACTTGAGAAAGTGACAAAGGACTCATTTTACATGACAGATTTACTGTAGAATAGTCTGTTGAAACAGAACCAGGGGACGACTTTAGAAGAAACCATCAGGTATTGCCTAAAAGCTATTTTCAGTTTAAACTACCAGGGTATGGTGCTGATATGTTGTACAGTAAATGGTATGCTTCAGTCTTAAAATGTGTTTTGCCAACTTCCTTCTGTAAGGAAAGTGATTATTTTATATCTGTTATTAGAGATTGCCAATTTATTTGTGTGCATCTTGAGGAGTTAGAAATTTTCCTTTTGCAAGCTGGTAAAAATTTGTCCTTGTCGACCAGGTAACCTTTGCTATTTAATGCCACTTAATACCACAGATATGTGCATTTTCATAAAGTGACATGAGCTTGAAAAAATAAAATTATAGGGGTGCCTAGCTGGCTCAGTCGGTAGAGCATGTGACTCTTGATCTTGGGGTCGTGAGTTTGAGCCCCCTTGGGTATAGAGATTACCTTAAAAACAATCTTAAAAGAAACTGTATTGAAGAGTTGGAGGTTCTGGTATTTTATGACGAAACGAAAGTGTTCACGTGTACAGGACAGTGTCCTCTCGTAGCATGGGTGAAGAGTAGCACTGCTTGGTATTACTTTCTTAAACGTTGTGAATTTTCCATGGTACGACCACCATGTTCTTTTCAGAGTAATGACTATAAGCACACAGTGTTTGGGGTTTTTTTCTGGAGGTAAGGAAAAGCCATATATTGCATGGCACTCTGCTCAGTAAGTTCTTATTTTGAACCAAAGCCTATTTCATGGTTCTTTCTGAAAGTAATTCTCTCTGCGGACAGAGTTTAGCACAGAATTCCTCAGATTGCTGAATTTATATGCTTATTATGAATACTTGCTAATACAGTAATATTTGACGTAGACATATAAATTGGCGTTTACTGGTAACCGTCACTGCCACCGCCAGCACCAGCAGCACTACTCCTGTTGCTCTCACCATTTCACCATTTACTCAGTGCCCGGCACTGCTTTAAGTGCTCAGTGTCTGATCTCTTGCAACTCTCTCCACTCCCAAGAGGTACGTACCACTTATAGCACCATTTCCAGCCGAGGAAACTGAGACACAGAGAGGTGTAGCGCTTGGCCTCAGGTCCTCCAGCTGGTTGTGATCAAACCAGGATTTGCCCCCAGCTGCATTACGGAGTGGTTGCTCGTAACCAGAGTACTGCAAATGCCTCGCCAGGGAAGCTCCTGAAGCCTGTTACAACGCAGTCTCCGGCAGTTAAACAATAAGTTCACTGATACTAAGGGTATCCGTGCAACAGTAGAGCAAAAATTTGGGGAACACGGAATTTCATTTGTTGAGCCCCTTTCTCGTGATTTCATCCTGTTTCTGTTCAGATAACATGACGAACTTCTATGCTTTTGTTTTTGGTGCATGGTTGCGTATGCATCACGTACCGATGAGGCATCTCGTGAGCTGAGTAAATAATCCATTCTACTGCTGTTCCACTCGGTATATAGACAGTGCTCTGTGACTCCTGATGTCCTTCATGTTGCATATGTCCATTAACGGCTCCTTGAGGCTTCGTGGCGTGAATACAAACCTGGAGTCTGAGCTCAGGTGGTGCCTAAGGAACACCGCAAAGAGTGCCTTTGTCGTGCCTGTGTGTGTGCTAGCCCTGTGAGAGCCAGCAGGCTGCCGTAGAGTTTGGGGATTGGCACTTGCTCTCCATTCATCTCCAGCATCATTTCCTTTCATGAGAAAACATGGCCTTGTTGGGAGCAGTCTGTGCGTTCCCTTTGGACTGTGGCATTTCCTGTCTGGGGTACTTCTGTGTTAATCCTGTGGGTGTTGCCGTTCCTTTTACCTGCAGCCTCTCGACGTCATTCCAGGTCCACTAGTGCCCTCTCCACTGCTGAAACTGTTGGGCAGTCAGGTGAACAAGTGCTAACTGCATGCCTTGGCTTCTTCATATGTTCCAGTTTCACACCCATTTTCGCATTTGTTTTCATCAGTGTCGGCTAGCACTTGGCATGTACGCCCTTCATATTTGTTTTCCCCAACGTGCTTTGATTTTTTTAAGTTGTTGAATGTTTATGGTTCTGTTAATAGGCCGTAGATGCTTTATAGCCTGTTTGACAACATCATTTCTCCAGTGTTCATGTTTATGTGAAAACCAAACAAACAAAAACACGGGGAGGGGCTTCTACCCCTCTTTTGACTCCCTCCCGAAATAGGAGAACAGTCACCGGAAATAGGTATCCTGAAACGTCCCTGTGGGGAAAGAGGGGATGGAGGTCCCTCGACAGTCTTTCATTTCCAAAGGCTTTGCTCCCAAAAAGTGTTGATTACTGATGTTAATTATTAGTGTCAAGTTCTGATTACTTGGAGGAACTGTTTAGTTATTAAATGTTCCAAATCCTAGCGTGCATGATTTCATATGTATAAATATTTGTCCTAAAACTTTTACGGAAAAACAAGGTCACGATTCAGGTAATCAGGTCAGGTGGCAGGTAGCCTTTGCAGCCTGTGGTCCCCAAATGTTCTGTCCCAGCCCGCTTTAACGATACCAGAAATCCCCCGGTCAGTCTTTGGGGCAAAAAGTAAGCATACCGAGATGCATCAGTTTGCTGGATTTAACTGACATCATTTTTATATGGTAACTACAGTTTTCTTACTTGACTAAGGCATTATGTATTAAATTACAGCCTGTCGATGGGGACAACTGTCACCAACTCATGGAGTTATTTTTCTCTGTGTTTCCTCTAAGCGAAGCGAGCTATGCTTTTTATTATGCACACTCTGAAGAGTACAGTCCCCTGAAAATCAGGGGCCAGACTGAGGGCACAGTCGCACGTATCCATCTCTTGGGAAATGGAGCTTCATCATAACATCAGAGCAGTGAGTGTAGAACGGACTTTGCTCTGGTGAAAACAAACGGCTTGTAACTTTGCTCAGATCCAGACAAACATTTCCCCTTCAGATTTGAAATTCAAATGATCTATGATATATATCCAGTGATCTGCAGTCACTGTGTATGGCGGAGCTGTATGCATCTGGGAAGCACAGAATAATTGCATTATTCTTACAGTTTTAATTTTCTGTCTAAAAAAAATCAGTATTATCCCTGGAGCAAGAATTGCTGGCATGAGATATACTTTTTTTTTTTTTTAATTTTTTTAGATTCCGTTTTATTTAAGTTTATGCTGGGTAATTTTTAAATGGCTTACAACTGAGTTATTTTCATTTTGTTACTCATAAATCCCTTACTATCTACCCTTTTTTAATGGAAAAAAGACTTGAGCAAAGATCATGTATAAAACCATATGCACAGCAAATCTCAAATTTACACTTGTTTCATATGTCAACTGATTATATATATATATATATGCATATATGGGGAGAGATCTAGATATAATTGCTTTGTGGTCTCTTAGTTTATATGGCACATTTAATCATCTTTTGAACAGAACGGCTAAGACAGCATGCAGTGTGACCAACAAGTGCATTAAAAAAGGGGATAGTATAACATACAATTTTTGTTTCTTTATAAAAATTCATGACTGTATAACGTTTTGGTTAGCAGTGTTTAAATATTTTCCCCTTTCGGTGGCGCTGGAAGGTGTCAATTTTTTGAAATCGACATTTTAAAAAAGCTAAGTAACAACACCTCACTTTTAGAGTTCTTGTTTTCTAAAGAATTCTTGTTACATATCTAGAGTTTTAAATATATCACTTTATAAGAAAGATCAATTCACGTAAAACAGATTTAGCTTTCCTTTTATTCTAAATGCTTCATTATGGCTAATAGAGAGGGTTTGGTTTTTTTTTTTTCCATCCAAATAGTGTCTTATTTGTTCACAAAAAGAAAGCATTTTTTATCTTAACATTTTTCTTCAAAGGTTTTTTTTAAATACATTAGGATTTTAAATAAGAAATGCTTGCCAGTAAATAGTATGATACACTTAGGGAGTATAATTTATATGAACTTTTTCCTGTTAAAGCTTTAACCTCAGCTCTTCTTAAGGAAGGCTGCTCTCCTGATGTAATGGGGCTTTTAAAAAGCTAGTCTTCATTGTCCTTGATCCTTAACAGGCTTAAAATAATTGAACTGCTGAATTTATTTTAAATTCTTTGGATCATACCCATTTTGTTACATGTTTAGACTATCATTTGAAAATCCTTTGAGAGACTCAGGAAAAATGTATACTACTGTTATCCAAATGATTAATGTTTTGCAGTGAAGGTGCTAGCTTTTTGTGATGATCATTGAAGAATTTTAATAAGCTGATTTTTAAATAACCTTTGGTGACACAGCCATCATGAACAAATGCCAAAAATTAATTGAGCTCAGTTAATGACAGTTAAACAGTCGTGACACTAATGAAAATTTGCAGAGATCAATCGAATGTATTTGTTTCAAATTTTACCTTTTTATTACACATCGCATTAGAACCCTATTGTCAAACCGTGAAGCTTTCTAATTAGTTTGACCAAACATCAGGGCCAACTTGCCTCCAGAGGGAACGCTAAATAGATTAAAAAACTCCGCCCACAGCCCAGCTCGCTTCTCTAATAAGTTCCCCTCTCTCTCCCACTTCTCAGCACTTTTCAAAAATAAAACATTAAAGAGCCATTTCAGTTGTTAGGATGCTTTGTGGCACGAAGGTATTAAATATGAAACAACCTAACCTCTGCCGCTGGTAAACAAGTCTAGTTAGAACTCTTAAGTGAAGGGTAGTTCCGATTGGCTAGAGACTTTCCAGTGCCTCTGTCCAGTAGGTGGGAAGAGGCAGGAGCCCTTGCAAAGGATTGAGAAAATTTGAATTAAAGTGACATGTCTTTCGGTTTTGTTTTTCTTAAATAGACCGGTTTGGGCTTGGCCAGGCAGGAAGAATACCTGGCTCTGTGAATGCCATGCGAGTTCTGAGCACAAGTACAGACCTCGAAGCTGCTGTCGCCGATGCTTTGGTAAGAGTTGCAGTGTGTGCAGTCTCTTTGACTTACTCAGCCACGGTTTTCTCTGTCCTACCAGAAAATCGCCTCCAAATCAGGGTACTAAATCACCCTGGGCACTCTGTAAAATTGTGTAAATACTGGGTAAACTGATATTGTCATCACTTTCTCTTTAAACTCCTATCCCTGTACGTAAGTGAAAATCGGCCCTCTACAAAAAATTCTCGCGCCAGGTGTTCGTTCTGTGCTCCTCAGTATCAAGGAAGTTTTGATGGCATTGGGCTTCTCTGATGTCATTGGGCTTCTTTTTTTTTTTTTCCCCTTTTCTCCATTTTTTTTTTTCCCCCAGCGTTTCCTTTTTTCATTCTCCTGCTTCTATTGCTTTACAGGCTCTAATGGCATAGCCTACACGTATCATTATAATAGTAGGTAACAGAGTTTGTGGTTTGAAAATCTCGCATTGAATCCAGGACCACACTAGTTGTTCCTTGCGATTTTACCTTTGTTTGTTTGTCTTTAAAAATGAGTCATTATTTAAGGAAACTCCTAAATTTTAATGCCAGTGAAGTCTGAGGATATAAAGCACTGGTTGAATATGTTTTTGCCTCATTATAATGGAATATCTTAAAAATATATATATATAAAGTGAGTAGAGGTCCTTCAATTTGTGGTCAAATTGCTTTTTAAAGATGCGTTTCAGCTGGTAGTGACACTGCCTCTAGCATATTCTGGTTGATGTGCTCAGCATTTAAAATAGATCCTCTTTAGAACTGTCTGATCTCTGGCCTTGCTTGTGCTGTTTTAAGATATATTGTCTCTCTGAGGAAAAACGTATTATAACATCCTGCTTTCAGACCCAGAAATTTTAAACCCAGCCCTGTTTTTCATCTGATCAAAATGTTATAGTCTGTGGCTAACAGGGATTCTCACTTTCATCCCGTCCTGTGTCGCCCTCATTTATTCTTGCTCAGTCAGATTTCTTTGACAAGCGACTGTGAGCAAGCAGTTTGCCACTCTCCTGATGCTTTTCCTGTAAGCAAGGGCTGCCTGGCCAGCTCTATTCATCAGCCTTCTGTGTAGAAGGGCTTTTTTTCCTGGCAGGTACTGGAGTTTCAGGATAATTGCTCTAACCATGGCTCTGACTTCAGAGTCATGAGCTGGAACGGAACTCTGTGAAGCTATTTTCCTTCCAAGCTGCAGCACTGAGAATCTGTCTCTTACTTATTCAGAGACCCTATTAGGAGGTCAGAGGGGTGGGAAATGATGGATGTGCAAAACCCTTAGTTAAATGGGACTTCCAGTTAAGGCGGGGGAGTTCCTCATTCTTTAAAGAACCGCCCAAGGGACTGTGCACAAAGTTCTAGGAGGCAGAGTCGGACTTGAGAATTTGAGCTTGGGCTTTCCTTGACTCGGGCTTTTCTCTGAGCTCTAGCTCTCGGTCCACTCAGGCTGCCCTTATTACTCTTTGTCCAAACTGCTTGGCCTCCCAGAGTGACCTGCTGCAGAAGAGAGAGCGCAAGAATGGTACACAGTGTTTGCCTCCCAGGGTAGAAGCCCCAGGGGCAGACAGAATCTAGCGTAGGAGCAGACAGGAGAACTAATGGTGACTTTCGGGATGTACCTCGGTGGTGTGGGAAGAGTTTTAGCATAGCAGGAAGTGTAGCGAGTACTGGAAGGCGTTTCTAGGAGGTGTAGGAAGGGCTAGGTAATGCCATTGTGAAAGCGTTCTTTGTTATTATTCACTTGATATGAATCGCTTGCTAACCTATATTTTTGGTTTGCTAAGATATGTTTTGCTGTACACTTTTGTTGCAAGAACAATCCCCACATATGCTTCTGACATAATTCTCTATGCTTTTTCCCCATCCTTCAATATTTTCCTGCCTACAGCTGTTAGGAGACTCCAGGAGCAAGGTACCAGTGCTTTAACTTTTGTTTTACAACTTCATTTTTTTCTGTTGCGAGTATATTTCCTTTAGGGGCTAGTGAAAGCACAAAGCACGTAGTGTAATTAGAAATTCTGGTCTGAATTACGATTTTGTCGAGTCTAGTGAAGCTGTTGTTAGCAATGGAATCAGTCCCCTCTCTCATCTGTTTTAGTGGGTTTTTTGTTTTTGTTTTTTTGTTTTTTTGTTTTTTTGGAATCTCAAGCTCTGCTCCTTCTGTCAGTGTTTTATTAACCCAGTTTGTGTCTACTTTTAATGTCATTACTATTTCATGAATGGATACATTCAACATTTTTCTTATTTTACAAATCTAGTTTGTTTATGTGTGTGTGTGTGTGTGTGTGTGTGTGTGTGTGTGTGTGTGTGTGTATGATGATCCTATAATTTATCATACTAACAAGGATACTTCTGAAAGTGAAAAGAGGTGCTACTTAACTCATTAACTCTGCTGGGACAAGAGGCATAAGGCAGAATTGTCCCGAGCAAGTTATGGTGGATGGACAAGCCATACATTATTAGAAAATTACGTTTGTGAAAGAAAAAAAAAGACAAAAGAAAATTGCATTTGTATGGTTTCAGCCAATTAACTTTTTTTTCTTTTAGGGAAAATTGTATCTTATCAGTTTAATAGCTGTTGCTATATTATTTATGGGTTTAACTTACAGTTTTGTATTCAGGGTAAGAGAAACGAATGAAGGGTCTGCAGGAAGGCTATTTGTGTTCAGATAATTTAAGCATCCTTTTACTTGGGCTACTCTGTCCCTGACGTTTCAGTTCCAGACTTTCTTGAGGAAGCATGGATATTCCAACAAATTTTCCCACAGACCCTGCTCACGATAGATTGCTTCTGTTTGTGAAGGGCCCAGTGGGGGCGCATACCTGCAGGGTGGCAGGGGCTGAGCCAGGTTAGTTCACACACGCTCCCAGCAGGCGTGTGGGAGGTAGCATTCTTGTCATTTCAAAGATGAGGAAAGTGAAGCAAGAAGGTGAGGAGCTTTCTGAAGTTCCTCAGCCAGTCAGTGGCGGCCTGACTACCACCCGAGTCTGCCCCACTGCGAAGTCCACACACCGTCCTAGAGACCACACTCTTCCGTCTCTGCTACGGACTGCTCTGCCTGTTACTTACTATTCTGTCTGGATGTCTGCTTTTAGGTTTTTATTTCCCTGATCTGTCAGCACAGGAAAGTGTGGTGCGTGCATACGTGTGTGTGCGTGTGCGTGCGTATCTTTTTACCTGTAACTCTGTTGTTGATCTTGTGTGGTGTGACTCATGGTCATTTCACCTTCCCATGTCTTCCTCCATCACCCCCACCTTCGTTGGGTCTGACAGAAGAAGCCTGTGAGGAGGAGGTACGAGCCGTATGGGATGTATTCGGATGATGACGCCAACAGCGATGCCTCAAGTGTTTGCTCTGAGCGCTCGTACGGCTCCAGGAATGGTGGCATTCCCCATTATCTGCGGCAGACTGAGGACGTAGCAGAAGTTCTCAACCACTGTGCCAGTTCCAACTGGTCAGAAAGGAAAGAAGGGCTTCTAGGCCTGCAGAACTTACTGAAGAGCCAAAGAACACTGAGGTGAGGACAAGGAGGCCAAGGTCGTGAGCCAAGTTTGAAGTCCCGTATTTACACTTAGCAGTGGTTTAAGGGGGCTCCCTGTCATTCAGGGAGTCCTTACCGAGTTCCAGGCGCGGGGGCAGGCACTGCGGGTGCTAAGATGACTAAGACATGGTCTTTGCCTTCCAAGGACTTTGAAATATCTGACAAATACTCTCTTAGGTTAATAAAACATTTGGTTCCGTTACAGTTCATATTTATCTGGTAGGTGTTATTTGAGAAGTCTTGATACAGTTTGCAAGTTAGGTAAAAAATAACTCTGCCGGTTGGTATGGTTCATTATACTTTGGAGTTGTGGGTAAAATCACAGCAGTCTCAGCCTCAAATTTTGTAATATATGCATACATATAGCTTATAAACATGTATAGTAACGAGATACTAAAATGGAGTACTTTAAAGTAGTACCAGCCTTATTACTAGAGTTGATTATTTTGCTTTTTTCTTTGTTTCTATATCTCACAAATTTTCTAAAATGAGCATGTATCGCACATACCAAAAAAGTATATGTTTATACCATATTTCATCAAATCTGAGGCACCGTTGATACACTGCTATTTTATATCCCTCTAAGAAATGCTGCTTATTAAACCATGGCAGTACTAATACATCTTTGATTATAAGATGAATCTCAAAATTACAGAGATGTTAAAATGTAAAAAATTGGGCAAGTTAGAATCCCTGAAGTACAGATACGATGTTCTTTGGGGATTTTTTCTAAGATAACCTGTGAGAGTGGGTAAGTTTGTGGTCACGGGTAGGCTCTGCACAGCTAAGTGAACCTTGACTAGTGGATCCCTGTGCTGTAAGTGTGCCCATCTGGTCTGTCCGACTCCACCCTGCTGTGTTCGTATCTGTTACGTGCCGTTCCCCCACCGAGAGGCCTTGAGAAGTTTTGTCATATGCTTTCTGAAATGCACATAGCCTCTGATGCTCTAGTGAGCTGTCGAAAACAAAATGAGGATTTAAAAAAAAAAGAGGATGGTTTGTTGAGATTATTATTCCTCAAGAATCTGCTTAATTCTGGCGATCCTGGTTTCTTGATTTTTAGTGTTCACCAAGTATCCATTGAAGAATCTCTAGAAATCTGTTGATTGGCATTGGTCTAACTAGATCGTGTTGTTAATAATGTTAAAGGATCATCAAACCAACTCATCTGTATGAAGGGGGGATTACTCAAGGGTGATTTGGGGAAGAGATGACGACGCTTATTCAAGCCTTGAAGGAAAAATGGGACTCAGTAGTATATATAGGTAAGGGTCAGAAAAGGCAAAAGGGCACTAACAGGAAATGAATGTTTGCTTGGTCTCAGCAGTGGCAGGAATGGCAGCGTTCCCTCCTTTAATCCTCCCTGTGGCCATTTGTTTGATACAGATCTAAAGACATCCAAGTACTTGGTAGCAAAACTGAGATTAAAATCCAGGTCCGTCTCACCCCAAAGCACATGCTTTTCTTATACTTTATCCCATTGCCTTTCATCTGTGGTAGGTGGAAAACAGACCTCAAATGAAATGAGCGGGGATTTAGCTCAGGGCTTTGCCACTCCCATGTGTGCAAACTTTGGTAATCACTCTCTGAGATTCAGTTGCCTCATTTTGAGAGTCAAACTGTCGTGGTTTTATATTTCTACTTGATTTCATCATGAATTAAATAAAATGATTCGTTTGTGAAAAAAGCTTTAAAAAAGCCGTCACTAATCTCAGTGTTGACTCATTAAATTCTAAATTTCTTTATTTCCATTTTATTCCCTCTAGTCGAGTAGAATTGAAAAGATTGTGTGAGATCTTCACCCGAATGTTTGCTGACCCTCACAGCAAGGTAAGTCTGGGACTCGTGCCTGCCGACGTCCCCTCTGCATGTCCACGTGAGCTGTGTAATACACTACTTAAGAGTGAGAGAGAATTCCCCATAGCGCAGTTTAGACCTTACAGATATAACACCAGCTTCAGCAGCTTATGTTATATCTTTTAAAAAAGACTTCTTGGGAACTTCACATGTCCATAAAACTTGGAGCTAAATAAACTAAATAAAATTTGTTTTAAGAGTTAATGGAAAGAATAAGATATAGTCATATTCGGATGCTTTGGGGTACCTCCTGTTAGCCAAACGGTGGGCTACGTGCTAGAATAAAACATCATATTCTAATGCAATGCCTTTTTTTTTCTTAACAGAAATGAAAAAGATAATCAAGTCTATAATTATTCTTTTTTGTACCCCATGTAGAATTTGCCTATATAGGACAAGATAAAAAAAAAAAATAGAAGCATTTATGTAATGGATTTATTGAAAAATCAGGTTAAGCTATTTCTCCAAATAGAATTTTCCTGTCCCCAAGAATTTGCCCGATGGTGGCCACCTAGCTGGCATCCACACTCCCGGGGTCCAAGGAGAGCACTGAGTCCTGAGGGGGATCCCTGCTGGGAGGAAAACACCCCTGACTATGACCCAGGAATGGTGCTCAGAGAGCGACCCTTTACAGAAGCCTGCTTGGAGTTTAGATTTGAAACAAATACCACTAGTTTGGGAGGAATCCTAGTTGGATGCTTTTAGAGAAAGAAAATGGGGGGATTGAGTTTATTGGGCAAGTTTAAAGGATGGATAAAGGACAGGACCAGAAGTGCAAAAATTGGTAGAACCTTAAGTCAGCATAACCAAATCTCATATGCTTGACAGTGCAGGATTTCATGATCTCAGACCACAGTTTTCCTGGTAAAAATGGTCCCTTGTAAGTCTTAACGGGGAGAAGGAGACCTGTCATGGCCAGAAAGTCCAGCCAGTTATTGTGACTTCCTTTCCTTTCCTGCCCTGTCTTTCTCATCAGAGTCATCAGACATGCTCTGTCCAGTCATTCAGCACTCAGTACTTGCTCTGGGCTAGGGACACAGAAAACAACACGGGACCCCTGTTCTTTGAGATGCTCATGGGAGCCTAGAAGAATGAATGTGGGGGTTCTCTTTTTTCTGCAGGGGTAGTGGGTGGGAGACAGCAGTTCTCCTCAGTCCTGGTCTTGAAGCATGTCTTAAAATTCCTGTGATGAACTTCACAGCAAGGTTAACATTAACAACATAAGTAGAATCCAAGAAAGGTTGAATTCTAGGGCCACAGAGATAGCCAAAGATACAATTATCACGATTTTTCTCTAAGATAGTGTTTAAAAGCAGGAAGACTGGGGCACCTGGGTGGCTCAGTCAGTTGAGCATCAGACTCTTGATCTCGGCTCAGGTCTTGATCACAGGGTCATGAGTTTGGGCCCTGTGTTGGGCTCCATGCTGGGTGTGGAGCCTACTTCCAAAAAAAAAAAAAAAAAAAAAAAGGGCAGGAAGATTTTAAGCATAAGATTCATAAGAGAGCATAAGGGATGTTAGGTAGTATGGAGCATTGATGAAATTTCTGTTACCTGTCACCTCTAGATTGCTGATTCAGAACCAGAATGTGAGGATAAAGAAGGAAATTTGTTTCCATCAGAAGGCTCTTGTACAGTGAGTTTGGAGGTCTCAGTTTAGTTAATATTTGCTAGCTGCCTTTGAACTAAGCCAGGAATCCCATAGCTGGGGGGTTCAGTGAGTTTTTTTTCTGAGCTGTCTCACGGGAGACCCCTGGTGGTTAATAGTTGCTGTGCTAGAACTGAGTAGCTATATTATAGCTGGGTTGTCCCAGTAGAGCACGACTCATTTATTAGCCAAGTAGGGGACACAGTGCTACTTATCTCTCTAAAATCGGTTCGAGGATAGTCCACTGTGGACTCTTATCTCATCTTATACAGCATTAATGATTGCACAGCAGCATGAGAATTATGTGGACTGTATCTTTTATTCTAAGCCATAATTTTTTATAGACTATATTGACTTTTATAATATCTTTTTATATTGTATTACTTTACAATATCTGAATTGGCCTACATCGAAATCTACAATGCTCAAGGTTTTTTTCCTCCCTCATCTTGTAACATTACTTGTTGAATGCTAGATAATGGACAGTAATAGTATGGAATTCTGATGGTTAAGAGAACTTTTTTTTTTTTTTTAAGAGGAAGGAAGGATGGAAGGAAGAGAGGCCTCCAGGATTAAACTAATACCTTTCAGCAAAGTTAATTTCTCTCGGTACTGAATTTTGAAGGCATATTGAGGGAGGGGAAGAGTATCAGTATCAGTTTGTAATCTTTTCAGGTCTTTTAAGAAACTGCATGAAAATGGTTATTAATTCACTGTGGACTAACATGGAATTTGTTTTGTTGCATGGCCTGGTTTGCGGTGGAATTCACAACAGAGAGTAAGTTCCGATCCTTTTTCCTTTATTTTTTTAATACATTTGTCTCCTCTAATATGACCAGTCCATTTTTAATAGAGACTTTGGAGGAAATTATGAATTACATATGTGAAATACTTGGTTTTCATTTGTGCCTAGGTTTTCAGTATGTTTTTGGAGACTCTTGTGGATTTTATTATAATTCATAAGGATGACTTGCAAGACTGGCTTTTTGTTCTTCTCACACAATTACTTAAGAAAATGGGAGCAGATTTACTTGGATCTGTGCAAGCAAAAGTTCAGAAGGCTCTAGATGTCACCAGGTAAGGTTTTAGAGGCCAGACCATTTTTTTCCCCCAGCTTTTGATATACAACTGACATATAATGTCGTGTAAGTTTGAAGTATATAACATGATGGCTTGATACATGTGTATATTGCTGAATGATTACCACAACGTTAGTTAACACATCCTTCACTCACATAATTGCCATTCTTTTGCTGTGGTGGTGGTAAGAACATTTCAGATCTATTCTTTTAGCAACTTTCAAGTGTGTAGTACAGTATCATTAATTGGAATCACCATTCTGTACTTTAGATCCCCAAAGCTGATTCATGTTGTAACTGGAAGCCTGTACCCCTTAACCAACATCTCCCCATTTTTCCTACCCTGTACTCTCTGGCAGTCACCATTCTACTCTGCTTTTAGGGATTTGGCTTTTGGGAGAGGGCGCGGCGTGGGGATTCCACATATAAGCCTGATCATGCTTTATTTGTCTTTCTCTGTCTGGCTTATTATTATTAGCATAATGCCCTCAGGGTCCATCCATGTTGTCACAGATGGCACCATTTTCTTCTTTTTTATGACCAAATAATATTTCTTTGTGTTTTGTTTTTTCCATTCTTTTGTTGACAGACACTTAGGTTGTTTTATACCTAGGCTATTGTAAATAATGCTACAGTGACCATGAGGTCGGGTGTCTCTTCGAGATAGTGGTTTCATTCCCTTTGGTTACATACCCAGAAGTGGAGTTCCTGGATCATATGATGTTTCTATTTTTAATTTTTTGAGGAACCTGTACTATCTTCTGTAGTGGCTGCACCAGTTGACATTCCCACCCACAGTGCAGAAGGGCTCCCTTTTCTCCACATCCTTGCCAACACTTGTTCTCTCTTGTCTTTTCTGATGATAGCTAGGAGCTGTGAGGTGATACCTCCTTGTGGTTTTGCTTTGCATTTCCCTGATAGTGATGTTGAGCATTTCATGTATTTGTTGGCCATTTGGATGTCATCTTTGGGAAAATGTCTCTTCACGTGGGCTAGACCATGTTGATGTTACAAGACTCTCATAGGTGGCTTTTTGCCATTCTCTTGTTACCCATGGTTTTGTCATCTGCTTGAATAAGTACTCTCTTACACAATTTCCACATTCTTTTGTTAACATATTTGTTGAAATGTTCCTGCATTTGATGAGATGAAATACCCATATCCTCCTTGAGCTGGTATTTTTGTGAACGCTCAAGACAAATTAAAAACAAATATAAAGCCTTGCAAATTGATTCTCTTCTCTTTGAAAGACATTTGAGTATTTATTTACATCCTTCTGAATACCTCAGTATTTTTAATACTTCCAACTTCTTACAAGTCATACTAGAAATTTTTCTAGCCACGTGTGATGTACCTTTTGTCCAGGTATAATCTCTGTTAGATTCATTAGCTCGGAGATTGCTAACACAGCAGTTGTACCCCTCTGGCTGTTATGAAGAAAGAGAGAGGATCTGTGGGGACTCAGAGGCATGTGAAAAACTGACCATGTGCTGTCATTGTTGAGCAACCTCTAATCAATTATCTCTACTATTAGAACTTAAATGACCTCAGAAGACACTTGGCTGTAATGTCTTCATTATGATTTGGTGGAAGATAGAAGCTTGTGTGTCAGATTAATGAATTTTTAAATGAATAAACAAATAACTTCAGAGCAGATAATTCCCATCAGTACAGTAACTTTTATACAACCCAGTTACTATCCATTGGGCGATGACTGCATATCATAGAATTTCCAAAACGGAAGGACCCTTCCTCATTTTATTTTTTTAAATATTTTATTTAGTTATTTGACAGAGAGAGCGCACAAGCAGGGGGAGCAGCAGGCAGAGGGAGAAGCAGGCTCCCCACTGAGCAGAGAGCCCGATGCAGGGCTCGATCCCCAGGACTCTGGGATCATGACCTGAGCTGAAGGCAGACGCTTACCATCTGAGCCACCCAGGCACCCCCCTTCCTCATTTTATTAATGAGGAAACAGACTTTACTTGACTTGCCCGGGTCACATTCTGTGTTAGTAGTAGGCTGGGGGCTGGAATCCAGGCCTGCTGGTTGTTGCTCCGTTGTCTGTTTCTCTGACTGCAGGCTGGTCTGTGGGCAGGCATCTTCCTGTAGGAGGGTGTGGATAGCCTTTGTACTTTTTCTTTCCTCTCTGGCTCCCTCAGCATAAACTCCCCTGCCATCATCCCCCACGCATACGTCTGTTAGATGTCTCTGACTGCAAAACATGCATTTGTTCCTCTACACACTGATGCCGACTGTTTTCTTTTGGTCCCTGACCCTGTAGATCTGTATCATCTGTGCTGCTACAGAATTTTATTATCCAAATAGATCCCTTTTGATTTTCACTGAGGTCAGTGCTATATACTATATTTACAATAAGCCTTTCAAATGCCATCCCTCCTTGGGTTGAGTAAGTTTAGTGGAATTAGGGAACATACCTAGTGATACCAGTGTATCAGTGGATTTGTAAAGTTTCAACCGGGGATTGACTAGAGGGGTGAGGCTGATCCAGCTTATAATAACTGAGTGAAGAGACAGGAGGGAGGGTGATGTGTGGGCCGGGGAGCTGCCATGTTGGCATGTGGGCCCAGTGGTACCAGACTTCTCAAGAAAGGTCAGAAATGTGGATTAAGGCAACACATTTGAGGGGTTTTTTTGTTTTTATTGTTTTGTTTTGTTTTTTAATGACACTCTGAAAGCCAAATAAAACATTTGTGAGCCAGACTTGGCCTAAAGGTCGCTTCCTTGATATAGGTGGATTTATGAATGGCAAAACCATTCAGAGTTTTAGGGATGGCAAGAATGTTAAGATTCTACTCCTAAACTTTGGTGATTAAGGAAAACCCTTTTATTATTTTCCTGGATGCCTCTTCCCTTTAAGAATCCTCTTCTGCTATGGTCTCTGAGAAACAAACTGAGGGTTCCAGGGGGGCGGGGGGATGGGTTAGCCTGGCGATGGGTATTAAAGAGGGCACGTATTGAATGGAGCACTGGGTGTTATACGCAAACAATGAATCATGGAACCCTACATCAAATAAATAGATGATAGATAGAGGGGGGAAAAAAAGAATCCTCTTTTGGGTAGATTTGGTCTAAGTCTCTAGAACACATTCATCATTCCCATTTCCTCGGCAGCTGAGATGCCTAGCTGTTTAAGCATATTTAGGATCAGTCTGTGAGTCCTGGGGGCAGGGGTGAGGGGTTCCTGAGGTGATAGGCCTAACTGTGATCTGTTTCCTTTCCTTTGGCTGTGCCTAACCATGGGCACATTTCCAGATTAAACACGCCAGTTTATACTTAAGTGGATTCTCCATTCTCCCCTTGCTGCAGAAGAAAAGAGAGGTGTTTTGTGTGTGGTTTGTCGACCTTGTTTCTTTAATTTATAGGCAGTATGAGTCAGAGAGTCCGAAGAAAGCAGTGCATTCGCTCAGTCCGTTATAACAGATGTTCGCTTTGCACAGTCTTTCCTGTTAGTGTGGAAGGTGTGTCTGCATTTTCCCACATGGACACCATTCTGCACTTTTAAACTAATGCTAGTGATTGCAGCACTTGAAGGGAGAGAGCACAGATTTTTGCTCACCAGGAGCCCTCAGGGTTACTCAGTTATGTTGAAAATGTGAAGCGGCTACAAGAAATGAGCTCAGGAACAGTCCAGAAGTGGAGCAGGAGAGGGGCTCTGAAGGCCCTGGCTTCTGCATATGTGTTGTAGCTGGATGGGGAGTTCCCTTGCTGGGTCTCTCATGGGCACTCAGCTGCGGAGACTCCACAGAACAGAGACCATAAGCAGTTGCCCAGTGGGACCAAGGGAGGACAGTGTGATTAGCCTTAGCAAGGTCAGCGGTAAGCAGCCCAGTCAGGATGAAAATTCAGATTTGGGAATTGGAAGTGCTTCTCATGAAGCAATATTCAGAAAGGTAGCTAGAGAGAAGATGAGCAGATCCCTTAGAAGGCAGGTAGGAATCTCTTCCTTAGTTTATTGCTTGGTCTTAATTTTTAAAATAGCATAACTCAAAGTAAGTGGAGTGTGTGTTTGGGGACTTTTAGCAGGTTTTCCTTTTTCTGAATTTTCCATATAGTGTGTATTACTCTAGTATTTATATAAAATGAAAGGTACAATTAGTAAACTTAGTCAACTAAGGTCAGGCTTGCTTTTATATAAATTAGATTCATCTATAATGGTATATTTTCGTTACTGATATGGTTTTACATTACTTTTTCTAATAAGCCTTTCTTTAAAACTGAGTTTTTTTTCTTCTCTTAAACCTAGGGACTCCTTTCCATTTGATCAACAGTTTAACATTTTGATGAGATTTATTGTGGATCAAACTCAAACTCCTAACCTCAAGGTTGGTAACTATTTGTCATTAGAGTTCAACCTCTATAAGTCAGATTTGCTTAAAATGTACTTTTTTGTTCATGATTCATATTTGGCTGTTATGAATAAATCTGTGAGCATCTTTGTACACCTGTTTGGGAATGTGTTCCCATTTCTCTTGGTTGAGTAGCTAGGAGAAAAGTTGTTGGTTTATTGGATAGTACGTGTTTAACTTGATTCTAAACTGCAGAAATGGTTGCGCTATATTATATTCCTACCGGCAATATAATGGGAGGACTAGTCGTTCCACAGCCTACCAACATTTGGGTATTATTACTGTTTTTCACGGTATTTAAACTAGAAAGCTCTGATGAGTTGAGATAAGGTATCTTATTGGAATGTTTTTAATATTAATGTTCTAACACATGAAAATTAATTGTTACCTATTTTGGAAAATCATATCTACGATAACAAGACTGAATCTGAGGGAGGGTGTTTGTTCATTTGAATGAGGTCACATACATCAACTGTTCTTTAATTGTTAACTTTTGTTGGGGTTTTAGCATAGGCCCAATAAATAATAACTCTCTTCTCCAAAGGTGCAAGCCCATTGAAGCATCAGTGGAGAAGTTAGGCAGAGTATCAGCTTGATCGCTGAAAATGCTCCCTTGCAAGACATGGCCAAGGTTGTGTAAAAAACAAAGCTAAGTACTTCACGGTCAGTGGCAGCGCTGGAAATCCTGCAGCCTGCCCGCAGGGGCTCATGCCCTGCAGGTGTCTTGCCGCATACGGGAGGAGCAGAGTGTGCCTTCAGTCTAAAACTGAAGAGGTTTGAGCTGTATGCTACTCGCCCTGTTCCCAGACTTACCTGTCCAGTCATTTCATGCTTTTGTCCCTGGTGGACGCTGCTCCCTGTGCAAACATAAATCCAGGAGGAAGGAGATGTCCCCTCAAGAGTATTTACTTTGATCAGAATTCTATTCACAGGTTCATAAAGTGTGCTTAATGTTTATAATTATTGGATCTTTCAGGTCAAAGTTGCAATCCTGAAGTACATTGAGTCCCTCGCTCGGCAGATGGATCCAACAGATTTTGTAAACTCTAGTGAGACGAGGCTTGCTGTTTCTAGAATTATAACCTGGACTACAGAACCAAAGAGTTCAGACGTGAGAAAGGTATGTCCAGGAGAGCTCAGGTGCAGCTTTAAACACACACTGTTCTCAGGCATGTGTTAAGAAAAGACATTTACCTAGAAACTTGCAAACCACCCCACACAGCTACACGGGATCCATTCTCACTCCTTTTCTGTGAAAACCAGACTTTGCTCTCGCCCTTATCTTCTCTGTCCAGTTCCACCTCGTCCCAGGCTTCTGACATCAAAATGAAAATCAGAAATCATGTATGATGGTTTCGTGCTTTCCTTAGGCATCTATTTTGTTCTTTTCAAATGTGAAAGCGCTAGTAGTTTAGTGTCTTGTAAGGCCGTTGGTTTTCCATATGTCAGTTTCGTGACATGGACTTTGAGGACAGAATTGAAGATCTAAGGCTGCCCGGCCATAAGGTGCCTCACAGCAAAATGTGGCTGAATGTTTGCTAGGAATATGAATTGCTGAGTTTAAAAAGAACAAACAATTTTGGATTATATACCACACTTGGAACACATTCTTTTTGAGATGGGGGGCTGAATGAATGGGGAGGTAGAATTCAGATTTTGGAGCCCCTGGACACCAAGGTGTTTTTGTTTTTTTTCATCAGCAGAAGAGAAGTATTGACTACTTTCTTCAGAAGTGACACGTTGAGGGGCATATAACAAAGTAATATAATAGTGCACAGGGACATACAGTAGTACAGAGAGTACCATTTCTCTTACTAGGTAGTGCTCTGCCTCAGGACCATTAACAGAGATTAATTATTATATGTGAAACTTGCCAATTCCTGACAGGTTGCAAGCACGCAACAAGTGTAAGCTCCTGTCTTTCTCTTCCTCTCTGCCTGTCCATGTCCTTATGTGCTTGAGTTTCACACGCAGTCGTTATTTTACGCTGTATAGAAACTGAGTAGCCTTTATAAAGTACTCTTTTAAAGCCAGCTTCCTCAGTGCAGCTTTCAGACTGAAAGTACTTGATTTTGGTTATTTGTGTATAATCACGAGCTTTGCTTTGTTTCTTCTGTGCCATACTCCTTCCACATTTAGCCTGACCAATGGAGTGCTTTGGCTTTGATAATGTGGACCACTTGGGTCCAGTCAGGAAAAAAGAAAAGGAGGATTCCAAGCAATAGCTAGCAGGAGTGGTGTATTTCCAAATGCAAACTAACACTTAGCTCCTCCAGTGGAGTTCAAAGACAACAGAAGAATTCTCTGGAAGGTTTCTTTGAAACGGTCACGGGTCATGTAAGTCCTGTGTCCGCTGTGTAGTAATAAACTAAGTTGTCCAAGGTCAAAGGAAAAAGGGCAAATCTTATTCAAGCACTCATTCAAAATTATCATCAAAAGAGCATTTCACTGGCAACCTTTAATGTAGCCATTAAGCCAGTGTTGGATTAGGGAGGAACAGTAGGAGGTGGTTCAATGATTTGGTTGGTATGTAAGTCACAAACAGATACTTCTGTTGTAATTTTCAAAATCACAAGATTGGCCAATAAATACAAAAGCCTTCAGGACAGCTTTCTATCTTTAGTCGTAACACATGTGTGCGTGTGCGTGTGCGTGTGCGTGTGCGTGTGCGTGTGTGTGTGTGTGTGTGTGTGCCGTTTATAATTGGATGTTACTTAAATATTCCCTCCTGTAGGGCTGAAACATACTCTAGACTTACCATGATTAGGGCCTGCGTGAGAGCAGCTCACTTTCATCATAACGTCCACTTTCTCTGGACATGCACATTAGAAATTTGAACTAGAATTTATTTTCCTAACTTTTCTAAACAGGTTGTTATAGGAACTTTTTTCCTTGAGTTCCTTAGCCTTAGGCTCCAGTACACTCAACTTATTTTACTACTAGCTTAAGTCAGATATGGTTAAGATACTGAATTTATTACCAGAAATCACATGGTTCATTTACTGTTGATCTCCAACACTTAATTTCAGTCTTTTTGGATCCTATAGTGTTGCTTCACAAAGCCTGGTCTCCATTGGTATTCTGCTTCTGTTGCCTGCTTTCACTTCCCCTTTCACATCTTGAGGACTGCTTAATACCTACCTCACCGTCAGACTGAGTTCAAACCCAGGTTCTGGGACAGTAATCCTGATTTTCAGAAAATTTGGAAAGCTTTATTACATTAGTAGTTCTCAGTCCTGGCTGCAATCAAAATCAACCTCAATTCCTGGGCTCTACCCCAGGTAATTTGGTCTAATTAATAAAAAGTGTGGACAGCATTTTGGGTCTCACTGGCTGTTGGTTGATTTTTAACGCACAGAGTTGAGACCCATTGTTTCAGAACATTACCCTGGGGTTGAACCTCAACATATACAGACTATTAGTGTTGACCTGGTTGCCACTAATTTTCTTGGTCCCAGCCTTCATCATCAGGATCTTCAGGACTAGGGTTGGACTTGCTGCTCCCCAGTGCCTTCCCCACCTCCCTATTTTCACTCACCCTATATACTCAGCACTGAGCACAATACAAAGTAGACATTTAATAAACATTTTGAATGAATTAATGAATGATAAATGTCCAAAGAGAAATAATCTAACTTTACGTAGCATGTCAAAGCCATCATTTTCAAAACCATAGTGTTGGAGGCCCCTGTTTTGACCTCTGTATTAGTCTTCTGTTGAACACCAAATCACCACAGACTTAACAGCTTGAAACTACACAAATTTATTATGTTGTAATTTCTGTGATTCAGGAATCTGGCACATGGTCTCTGGGTCCTCTGCTTAAGATCTTAACAGACGGAAATCAAGGTGTTGTCTGGGTTTTTGGTCTCCTCTGGCTCACTGCTGCTTGGCTGAATTCCATTCCTTACAGGAGTGGGGCCGAGGTGCCTGTTTTCTTGCTGACTGCCAGCACGGGTGTTCTCAGCTCACAGAGGTTACCTGCCACCCCGTCTGCCACATGGCCCTCTCCACAACACGGCAGTTTGCTTTTTCAAAGCCAGCAGGAGAATATTTGGGGAAAAAATTTCCCCAGACGTCCAAGATTTGCTGAAAAACCTTAATCTACCCATCTAAGAGTATTAATTTTCTGCCAACAGTAGTTGAGGAGTTTGTAGACAGTATAATTCATTCTACACAATCCTATTTGGGAAAGCACTTTAAGCTGATAGAACTCTTGATTTGTTGTTAACATTTTTAATAATTTACTTTGTTTCCCTTTTCATCTCAGCATTTTGGGGTGTTTGATGTTGGAGAGAGAGGGGTGTCTAAATATTTAAGATGTTTTGAAGAGGAGGGAAGAGGCACAGCCAGAACCGGAACACAAGCCAGTCAGCAGTGGAGTCTGCTTAGGCCCAAACTGATGGGGGCTAGCAGGAAAGGCTCCCCCCGACCCAGACCTTCACTGGCCTGCTTTATTCTCAAAGTAACCTTGTTCGTGTTTTAGGTATGGGAGCCCTGACTAGTTGTGTTGGCCATACTATACCTTTCTGAAGGCGCTGTGTTGATATTAAGATACTATAACGTGGGGCGCCTGGGTGGCTCAGTCGGTTAAGCGTCCGACTTTTGATATTTGTTCAGGTCGTGATCTCAGGGTCATGAGATTGAGCCCCACATTGGGCTCAGCGCTGCGTGCGGAGTCTGCTTGAGGTTCTCTCCCTCTCTCAAATAAGTAAATCTTAAAAAAAAAAAAAGATAACAATGTATTGACAGTAGGAAGTAGATTCTGGAGTTTGACCTTTTTTGACTTTTGCCTCTGCCACTCGGTGGTGTAAGCTGGCACCGTAACCTCTTAATTCTTGTTTGTTCCCAAAAAATGGGAATGAAAATCCCTGCCTCAGGCTTCATTGGGAGAACTAGTGGAGAAAAATAGCTAAATATTACTTCATTTATGTTGCAGCCCCTGCTCTTGGTGGTTTTGGTTTTGCTGTTGCTATTTGTGGAGCAAATGGAGAACCCAATTTTTTCCAGCATTGGGAAGATTTTTTTTTCCCCCCCATCAACCAAAGGGAAATGTGATAATGCAGTAGAATTTTTAATGGTATGTTTATATTTCAGGATTCAGAATCCTTGTGGGTTTGGTTATCATATATGATCCTCTGACATTTCGCACCTACGTTGTCAGATGTGATAACAGATTTAGCCCCCACATGTTTTGAGAGATGTGATAACTGAAAGCATGGCAAAGAAGCCTAGAAAGTACAAAGATGGTATTGCCTGGAGCAGGAAGATGATAGAAACCTTCAAAAGGTGAAATTTCTAACTGGAAAAAAAAAAATTTTTTTTTTTCTTTTTTAGAGAGAGGGAGTGAGGGAGAGAGAGAGGAGGGGCAGAGGGAGAGGGAGTATCTTATGACCTTGAGGTCATCACCTGAGCCAAAATCAAGAGTCGGACGCTTAGCCAACTGTGCCACCCACATGCCCCTCTAACTGAAAAATGTTCAAGTCTGATTACTGGTAGGCAGCGTGGCCTAGCCTCAAAGCTCAGGGTTTTCCCATCAAACAGGATTTGAGGCTCAACTAAACTGTGACAGGCTCTTTCAAGAAACGAGTTGACCTTTTTGGTCTCCTTCTGACCCTTGCATCGCATAAGGCAAGAGTGCTACAACTGCTGGCGAGGATTATGGTTATTACGCACCTAGCAAATGATAGAGGTTTGAAACTGGTCATTACTGTTGTTATTCTTCCTATTCCTAGCTGTTAGATTATGTATACCTAGGTGATTTTGTAAAAGAAACCAAATACTTTCACAGCTTACAAATAACCCTGGTTTAAGCACTTGCTTCTCTCATTAAATCCTACCGCCTTTCCTGTTTGTCAGTCCCCGCTTCAGCGTAGTCGAGTAGGTGAGGATTTCCCCACTAGGTCAGCTTCCGCCTGCTCTGGGCCTGGAGAAGGAAACTTGGAAGAAAATTGTAAACAGGTAGATTTTAAACTATGTACTAATTTGAAAAAAGACACTTCACTGTTTGCATTTTAGATGATTAATACTGATTACCCTTGTCAAGACACTGAAAAAATTCCAAAGATTGTCTGTGTGTGTGTAAATGCTTGTGTTTTAACGTGTTTTATGATTAACTTCCCTGCCCAAAGAAATAGCTATGTTGAGTGTAGGCCTCTACTGTACTTTAGCAGAATGGTGAAGGAGAGATACTAAATGAGAAATGTCTGAAGGTGTTGAGATACCCTTTCTTTGGTGATTTTCTAAAGCAATTTTTAATGACAATCCGGAGGGAGCACTAATCGTTTAATAAATGAGAAAACTTCTTTCCCTCCCCGAGTTTAAGTTTTCCCCAATTACTACCAGTGCTGAAGCATTTGTCAAAGCTTTATTGATCTCCTGTCTCAAAGAATTCTTTGCTGCTTTCAAGGCAGTTGATAGCCCTGGGAGTGCTTTCCACACAGTGGCAGTAAGATTCGAAGGACCTTCTGCCCTCACCTCCCAAATTCTCCTGTAGGGGTGTGAGTGGGAATCATTTCCTTGTAAGTTGCCGTTTGATCTTGGAAACCAGTAACCCTAGAGTTGTCCATTAGAAAAAGTCAGCAGCAGCCTTGAGTGTTTTGTCCAGCCGCTTACCGGCCCCACCTCTCGTGGAAAGCAAGAGGTCAACAATGGGACAAGAACAGGCCTACGCTGCTCTTGCATTCGTTATTGCACACGAGCTGTGCTGCAGGCTTTTTTAGACGACTCTCTCCAACTCAGTCCCCATATTTGGAATTATCACCTTAAAGAGAGTGTATTGATGGTAATGATAAATAGAACCCAGTGTCCTTCCTCGCTTGGATTCTAGTGTTCTGACTTCTCACTGTGACAGAGGGCTGTAGGTAAGATATTTTAGGACCATAGCAGCCTCATTCCTTTTAAAACTGTGACGTCAAGTATTTTTAAAAGAACACATTTAAGTCATACTTTCTATCCATTTCTGGAGCTTGGACGTCATTAGAAAGGGTTTTACTTTGAAAACAGCTTTAAACCTAAGGGTGACTTTTGAAGACTGTATAGAATCATTTACATTTTGTATTTTGGAAAATGTAAAAATAAGTTATACTCATTTATATATATATAAGTCACCGCAAATGTACCATCTTTCCAACTAGCTGTATTTTCAAAATTCCCCGTTTTTCTGTTTGATTTTTATCAAATGTAACGTTATGGTTATTGAAAAAGAAGTTTCTTTAGTGGGCCAGAAGTTAAAGTTGGCTGCACCTTCTTTTCCCACGTGACTAGGAGTCGTTGACAGCATGTAGCCATGAATTAGCACAATTTCTGGGCAGCCCTCTTGTTCCTAAAAGATCCTGCTAATTTTAGAATTTGCTTTATGAAAAACCTCAAATTACTTTGTGGTGTTGGATATCCTGTCATTCTGGGAAGAAATGTGGTTTTTATTTTTTTATTTTTTTTTAAAGATTTTATTTATTTATTCATGGGGCGGGGGGGAGAGAAGCAGAGGGAGAAGCAGGCTCCCAAGGAGCAGGGAGCCCGATGCAGGACTCGATCCCAGGATCCTGGGATCATGACCCGAGCCGAAGGCAGACGCTTAACCATCTGAGCCACCCAGGCGAAATGCGGCTTTTAAAGACAGTGGCACATTTCACATAAAAATATGCTATTCAGAAATATACTGTTACGTTTTATAATTTTCAAATGTCATTGTCAGTCATTAAAAAATAAGTCCCTAAGCTTTCTTACTAAATTGGCGACATTTTTTCTCGCTGCTAAATCAAGTCTGTTTTTTTCTGTCTGTTTGAAGTGCAGTTTTTTCTGCATGCGTTTTTTTCCTTAACATCTAATAAAATGGTTTTTTAAATGCACGGGTTACCTTGCATGAGTTTTGGAATTTGCTCCTATACAAATATACAGATCATTGTTAGTATATATTACATTGGTGGTGAAATAGATTCTTTCAGATAACTATTTATTAAGAATGTTTCAATAATGAAATGTAAAAATGTAAATTTTAACACAATCAGTAACAATGTGTTTTGCCTCTGTCATGAAAGCACACAGGCCCCTTGGGATTTAATTTGGATGGAAAAGCTACTAATGACTGTATTTGGAGGTCAAGGGAAAAAAGGAAGATACTTTTGCCCAATGCTGTGCTTAATAAATGCTTTTGATATGTCTAAAAAGTAGTTTTTGATGTTGTAAGAAAACATTCTACTGATATTTTGAATTTCATAATTTTTATTTTTGGTTAAATATATTTGGGTCTCTCGATTATCTTTTTTTTTTTTTTTCCCTCTCCAGACAAAAATAATCATTTTGCCTTTACTGGATCCAGAATTAAATTTTAACATTGTGAAAGCATTGAAATATTTTGTGGTGTTTATTTCCAGAGCCTTTCTAAGCAAATAATATATTTTGTAATACCCTATATCATGGAAAAAAATATACAGAATAATTACTGCAATCCTAAAATTAGAGTGTGTTGGACAGATAAATGTATCCTTTTGGTCAGAAGATATTCAGAATGTTTTTCTTTCTTCTGACTCTCAGAAATTTGTTAAGAAATGCCATTATTTACTAAAGTTTTCTCTTGGCATAGTTTTTCTAAATCAAAACTCTTGGAACGAATTCCTCAGGCTTTTTTAGTGCCTGCTACTACTTAGTACCATAGAAAGCACATAACTTGCTAGAGAAACCTGAGTCTCATTGGGCTACTATTGCTTCAGCTAACTGCTTTCCCACCTTGCTGTAAGAGTGATCACCAGCAGTCCTGCAATATATTGTCTCAGTTAATAAAGAAAAGTAGAGCATTTGCCAAAACAGAGAAGAGTACGTTTTTAATTTGTACCATAGAAGTCTGGTTTGCTGCCCATGGGCTGTCTCCTCACTTCATAGGCATAAGAGTAGGAGTTCTCCGGATGTATTTAAACTCTTTTTCTAGAATTTCTCAGTCCCTCAGAGTGGGCTTGAGGAAAAAGGCTGCTCAACGGGTTGCTCAGATAACCCGTTGGCAGCTCATGGAGAGTCTTGTTCTCCCCAGGATGCACCGGGAGCCCTGTCCAGTTCTGACTTAGTAGAGTGAACCATCGTCAGCCTTTTCACGTTCTTGGATTGTTTCATTTATGGGTTTGCCAGCTTTGTGCCTAGTGCTGGACAACACAGGAAAAGTCATTTATTACAAGCATGCTATGGAAATTCAAGGCCAGGGCGTGAAGATGAAACAGGGGTGTATTTTCCAGATTGAAGTCAGGCTATTTATAATTGATCTTATTTTCTCCAGATGCCTTTTGTTTGTGTTTTTTTATGACAAAGGTGTCCTCTTTGTTTTTTTTTTTTATTATTATTTACTTTACTTATACAAAAACATTTTTGTAAAACAATTTTAATGAAAGTTTTGACCAAAATATGCTATTGTCTATTACATAAATTAATCAAGTGTTCTTTTTCCAGGCAGCACAAATTGTGCTGATCTCTCTGTTTGAATTGAACACTCCTGAATTCACCATGTTACTTGGTGCCTTGCCAAAAACATTCCAGGATGGTGCCACCAAACTCCTGCATAACCACCTCAAGAACGCGAGTAACACCAGTGTGGTGAGTGCTTGGTCACAATTGATACCTCTGTAGCGATCATGACCTCTGTGAATCCCTGGGCTAGACGTGCTCTAATAAAATGGCCAGCTTTCTTGTTCTCTTTTAGTAGATTGTGAGCATCTGAAGGGTGGGGGCCGTGTCTGATCCTGCCATATTCCCAATGAATGAGTGAACTTGGTATTTAAATATGGCCTTTTTTGGGCGCCTGGGTGGCTCAGTTGGTTAAGCGACTGCCTTCGGCTCAGGTCATGATCCTGGAGTCCTGTGATCGAGTCCCACATCGGGCTCCCTGCTTAGCAGGGAGTCTGCTCCCTCTGACCCTCTTCCCTCTCGTGCTCTCTCTCATTCTCAAATAAATAAAATCTTTAAAAATAAATAAATAAATAAATATGGCCTTTTCTTACATGAGATTGTTCAATCAGTTAAATTTTTACTTGGTCATTTAGTCATTTATTCATTGAGTTACTTACTTTCTTCATATGTAAAGATGGAAGTGCTCATTTTGTGTCTGTTAATCTAGCACAGCTGACATCAGTCATTCAGCTTCAGGAATCCCTATGTGACAGTTACCCATTTTAGGTGTATGTGCACTTAAAGTAGGCCTTAATGATTCTTTAAAAAAAAAAAAAGTCATCCCAATTATGCAGATTTTGCCCTTCTATTTACATGTGGATTAAAAAGCTAAGTGGGGGGCCACCTGGGTCGCACAGTCAGTTGAGCATGTGACTGGGTTTCAGCTTAGGTCGTGATCTCATGGTCATGAGATTGAGCCCTACGTCAGGCTCTGCGCTCAGCGTGGAGTCTGCTTGGGATTCTCTTCCCTCTCCCTCTGGCCCTCCTGCTTGTGCTCTTGCTCTCTCACTCTAAAATCAATTAATCTTAAAAAAAAAGAAAAGAAAAGAAAACCTAGGGGAAGGGGGGCGCTATAATCTATGTTTAGCCCTTGAATAATGATGCTTATTCTGTTTTCACACCAGGGCTCTCCGAGCAATACAATTGGCCGAACTCCCTCCCGACACACCAGCAGCAGGACCAGCCCCCTCACCTCCCCCACCAACTGTTCCCATGGGGGCCTATCTCCCAGGTAATGCCATTTCAACAAAAGTGAAGAAACTAAAGCACCCCAGTGTCTGTCCAACCTATTTCTAGGTTTTTAGACCAAGCTTAATAGCAAAAAATGAATGGGTATCATGAGACTATGGGGTTCTAGTCCTCACCCAAATCTTAACTATATAATCTTGGGCAAAGCAGTTGACTTCCATGGCGAAATGGGCAATTTGTGCTGAATGTTCTTGGAGATTCTTCCAGCTCTGAGCACTCCCTAGTAACTTAAAATTTTAAAGCTAAGTTTACATTTAGTACTGTTTCACATAGAAACCATTTAGAAATTCATCACCTATTCTCCAAGTGCTAGGAGCACCTGAAGGTATTTGTCATCTAAATAAATCCCCTGTAGTCAGTCCACACATAGCCTGGGGTTGTTTTCCCACCAAGCAGCTGTTCCAAGCATAGTTGCTGTCATCACAGGCTCACATTTGAGGCAGACTGCTGCTCTGGAGAGGTATTAAGAACCTGAGAACTAAAATTGGATCAGCATTTTCAGATTTTTGTTGGGACCATGCAAACGTTGGTCTTAGAGAGTCTGAGATGGTGACTTAAAATCAGAAAAATGCTTTGTCTCAGGGTCTTTAGACTTCTCCATCTGCCCAGAGCCTTTGGAAGTCTCTGCAGGTGACCCCCTGGCATGTGTTGGAGTCTCTCATGGCCTCACATGGAGTAGTGGCCCTAGAGGCCAGACTTCATAGTGCCCGGACCTGTGAGGGTCATACATGCTGTGTTTGTCTACCAGACGTCCAGGTCTTTGCAATCCCTGGCCACAAGGATCAGGGGGCTGTGTCTTAAGGGATGTTGACACCAAGATAGTAAGAACATACCACAAGTACTGCCATCTTCCCTTTAAAGGTTACCTCTTTAGTAGGAAAATATAAAAAATATAAGTGCCTTTAAATTTATTTTAGATTTTTAAATTCCCCAAATCTTCCATCCTTACCAGTAAAGTTCTCTTTAGTTCTTCAAGTTGTCATATAAATATTGAAACATATGAAATTTGTATTTTTCTCTTGGTGAAACAAAATATTTTATGTACTTATAGTATGCTACGTTTATATTGCCTTATTTCTAATCCCCCTAAATCTCCCTGGTACTATATTTAGGTAGAATGAAGAATGATGTCACGTCTCCAAGTTTGGTCTGTGTTGTCCTGATTTTAGCAGGCTGTTATAATTAGATAGTTGACATCAGAAGTGAATGAAAATATGTCTGAATTTCCCCAGGTGTGACTGAGGCTCAACCAACTATTTTTTTTTTCATGTTAATATCTGTATCTAAAGTATATGACTTACAGGGTCCAGTGTTAACAGTAAAATCAGAGTTCTCTTTCTCGAGGTGTAGGGCAGGGGCAGGATTTTGTGGAAAGCTTGAATTCTCTGTAAATGGTTGCTTTTGTCTAGAAGTAATACTTCACCATTAATTAGGAAATCTCTTCCATAATACACAGTTCATACTTCTTATCTTTTAGTTCTTTCATTATTAGGGTGGCACATTCCTTAGGTAATAAGCAAAAGGTAAAACTCAAGTATTTTTATTCTATGTACTGCTAGTCTTAAGTAAAAGACCAGTGGAGGCCACTGGTGTAATCCATCCGAGCTAAGAATTGGCACGGTATTAATCTTCACGGATCCCCAGATTATTAAAAATTTTACTTTTCCAAGTCACCATTCATTTTTAGTTGGCCTGGCCTTAATTTTTACTGTCAGGTTTGCTGGTTGGTGGAAGAAATTAAGAGGTTTATTTTCAATATTAATATCATTTTCAAGGTTAAAGCCAAGTGTGACCTAAATGTTTTCTTGCCAACAAATTCCATTTTAGGGAATTATTTAATTGTGTGGCCTCTTTATTTTTTAAACGAATGTGCCCTCAGTCAGGGCATACCTAGCCAGATGGCCTTAGTCAACAACTTAATTAAACTCAGTAGAAGTGATTTTTCTCATAACTAAAACTGTCCAGAAGTAGGAAAAATGGCCTCCTGTCATTATATCACTGGGAATATTAAAGTAGGCCACATACTTTCACCAGGAAGATTATAAAAACTATGAACACTTGCATTAAATAGGAGAATGGACTAGGTTACCCCATTCCTGAGGAGACGATAGACAAGTTCTACCACATATAATCTCAAGGGTTTTTTGAGCAGTGCTCTTGAAGCATTTACTTTCTGTGAGCTGCCATTCTTTCGAATCATCTTAAACATATGTTAATTTTTTATTCTTAAGAGGAAAAGTTACCAGTTGTTTGTTTTCAATCCAATTTTTTTGTATCAAAACGAACTAGTATTTTTTTAGTCCAAAAATTCTACACTAAGATCATGGTGTGTTAATAAGGAAATATTCTAAAATGATGAGCAAATCTAATTTGATAGTTAAAAAAAAAAAAAACCCTACAAACAATGAATCATGGAACACTACATCAAAAACTAATGATGTATGGTGATTAACATAATAATAAAAAAGCAAAACAAACAAACAAAAAACAAACCCTAGTGAGGAAGTTGTTTTTATCAACCCAGTAGTCTTAGAGAAAATCATAGCTAGCATGTTAAACCTTTGTGAAACATTCCATTAAATTGCTTTTTGTGTGTGTGTGAGGGAAGAATTACTCCTTATTCCCAGCAGTAAACAAATACTACTGGGTATTTAGAGAGGAGATTTGTAACCTGGAGTTTTTCATCATTCAACGCATATATATTTTTTAGCTTATTTTACCCAGTGTGATTTGTGTTAAATGAAAAACAAGAGTTGCAGGGGGCTTCAGAAATCCCATGATGTCCGTTCCCTTTGAGATCAGAAAGTAGGTGGCAGTTCTTGCCCCCATCTTGCTGTACATTGTTGGCAAACGTGTTTTAGAGTAGAATGACACAAAACAGATCATCTGTTACCCCTAGCAGCAAAGGGTAACTTTAGGTGGATTTTACAGTCCATTGCATCAGAGGATCAAGATTTTCCATAGAAGCAAAGTGGGGATTAACTGGGAGACCCAGCCTCCCATAAGCGGTGGAGGGGGTGGTGCATCTACTTTATGCTCTGCCTGTTAGCAGAGCTCCAGCCAAGATGGCCACCCGAGTTCCTCTGGTTACCTCCACCCCTACTCAGTGTGGGACTCAGAGAAAGTCTGTGGGCCCTCGTGTGCCGTGGTGACCTCTCCTCTCCACACTTACCTTACAAAATGAGACCACAGCTGTCTTTGGCAGAGACTAGCTCTTAGGGCCCTCATGATTGCCAGCCTCAGGCAGTGCTGCTCCCTGGGGACCACCTTGGGCCTGGGGTCACATTTCCTTCCAGGTCGGCTCACACCTCTCACAGTGGCTGTGGCTCTCCTGAATCGCAGCAGCTGTTAGAATGTCTGTTGGGGCCTCTGCGGGCCCCGGCCACTGAGCGGCATTTACAGAGTGAGGAGGGATGCCTGTGTTCTCCGATAAGTTATTTCTCGAATCAGGTGATATGAGCAGGGAATTGGGGGGTTTTGAGACCTGGCGCTCTGGCCCTCTAGTGGTGCTCTTACTTTTTCAGAAGGAAATTGCCTGTCCCGGGTCCCGGGCTCAGGGAGCACATCGTCCCCCGCTTGAGTTCTTTGGTCAGAAAGGCATGTTCTCTGAGTCTTCCTGCTGTAGTCCCTCGGATCCCATTTGACTTAAGGCCCGAAATTCCTCCTTTGGCTCTTTGTAAAACAATTGATGGCATTATCTGAAACTGAACATCCATGCATATTTGTATGGAAGTACTTGTAATGTCCTTCCCAAGTGCAGACACACACAAACACACTCACACACTCTTACACTTGGAATCTCATGATTTAAAAATGTAACACGTGATCAAGAGGGGAAGGAATAAAGTGGCCTTATTGAGGGCCAAACTGTAAAACCAGCCTTGTTCATTTTCTCTGTATGGTGAAGTATAAATTTTGCTCCAGTTAACTTTGACAGAGCTTGGTCAAGGAAAGAGGAGACTGGAAGACACTTAGGATATAGTGTCTCTCAGTCCCCTCCTGTCCCCCCCCTCCCCCGTTGCCTTGTTTTGTCTCTCTCTGACTCTCCTCTTCTGATCACTGCAGTCGCTTGTGGGGTTGGAGTGCCGATGGCCTATCGAAGCACCCACCTCCCTTTTCTCAGCCCAACTCCATTCCCACCGCTCCCTCCCACAAGACTCTCAGGCGTTCTTACTCTCCCAGGTAACAAGCTACCTGTTAACCTTGTCTGAGGTGTCACAATATTATTGCATTTCCAGCGTCGTCTCAGGGCTTTTGGAAAGCCTCTGGCTTAGACGAGCAGGAGTAGAGCCTTGGTGAGAAGTGTGAGCAGGTGCATGATCTCTGTTGACCTGCATGAGTATGACTCCTGCTGTGTCACAGGGACAGATGACCAGTTCATCAACTGACCAAATCCAGCAGCACCTACGGGAGCAAGCCTTTTGGCCCCGGCAGAGCTGAGCTCCGCCAGAGGTGCTGGGGCAATGCCCTGAAGTCAAGGCAGGCCACAGGGGCACGGTTTCTTTCGTATTCTTCTCAGGAGGACAAGGCATGCCCGCTCAGAAGCAAATGAGACCTGCTCTTTCTCAAACCGTACCTGTAGCGTCCAGTCCCGCTGTTGGCAATATGGACTGATTTCTTGCATGATGTACTGCCATGTGGTGAGAGTCAGAGGACACAGATCCTGAAGGGAAGGCCCGAGAAGTACATCTCCTTGGTGTGCCCTGCCCCTAGGAAGGAGCGCAGTCGGTATTCTCACCTGGTTGAAGGTGACGAGGTTAATGAGTCTAGAGGAAGGGTGGGGCTTCCTTCAGATCTAAAACAGATGGTAAATCGGTGGGACAAAGTAGGGGCCACGGATTTCTACAGATACCTGTTTGAAGGTCTCTTAGGTGGTTATTATAAAGGTCCAAAGATCCGAGGACCCCTTCCCTAGAAGCCTGTAATTGCACGAGCCTGGGGCAGCCCAGCTGTCTTTGTGCTGTGTAAGATGAGTTTGTACCCGCTGATAGGATAGGGTGAAAACAACCAAAAAAGGTCTGTTACTTCTGAATGCCTCGTAGGTTGCTTTTGCACAGATTTACATTCCTACTTTGTATCCTCAACTCAGTGAAGCTGTACATTTTTAATAAAGTCAGCTAAAGGTTTTAACAACATCTTCCCTTTGAAACTCTCAGAGTTTTAAGAGTAACTTCTCAAGTACAGAGAACCCTGTAATGACTGTTTCTAGATACACAAGGTTAGGGCAAGGACACAGCAACAATGTGACAGCTGCTGTCATCAGTGTTAATAAAGCATGTCAGTGTACTTAAACTTTTTTTTTTTTTTTAAGGTTAGCCATGCCTCAAAGTAGAAGTCCACTTATTGACTGTGTTCCCGTACACTGACCTGTGTGCCCTAATGGGCACTGAGCTTCCCCACCCCCAGCCACTTTCCCATCCAGCCATCAAGACTCCCTTCCATTGGGCATCTTGTTTCCAGAATCATCTTTCACGCGTGCACAATAGCACAGCTAATTTTAATAAGTACCCATAACTTCTGTTGACCATTGGAGGGAGAGAGCATTGACAAGAGACTTCTGTGTTTAGAAAAACACATCAGTTACCGACAAATAAGAGGAAATCTTTGTCTCTTTGCTTTCTGCCAAAAGCGTATTGATTGCATAACAAGGAATGATTATATCCTAATTCCATTCCTGGTATCTTTTCCCTGCAAAATGACAAAGAGGAAAATCTCAGAAAGCAAACCTCCTGTCTCTAGTGTCCCCATTCTTGGAGACCTGACCTCATGCACCTCCCTATCCACGATATGGATCCTTCACAACAGGGTGAGTCCAGAGCTCTATTCTGCCTCCGTATTGGATGACGTGGCCTGACCTTGGGTCGGTGACTATTGACCGATTGAGCAACTGTTTGTAATCTAAAGAATTCTAAGGAAACCTTTCTGGGGTCTAAACACAGTGTTTACAGAAGACCAGGAGCTGTCCTTTAACCTCAAGGATTATGTCCCTGAGCTAAAACGAGACAGAGTATGGGGGCAGGTGACAGACCGGGGTGTCCCTAAGCAAGTCTCTTCTGATAGGAAAAGCCGTCCCTCTTGCTGTGCTCCCTTATGGTCTGCTGGCTGGGACCACGGTATCTGTGATTCACCAGGGACTGCTTTGGGGATTTCCTTTTTTCCCCCCTAAAAACTGAGGGCTCATAGGCATTGATTTGGGAAAAAAACAGATGCCAAAACATGAACTAGCAAAGAACGTAGCGTTCATTACCTGTTTCCTGTTAGAAAAAACGATACTATCTCACCTGGAGCTCACAGTTTTAGCTTCGTACCAAGGAAATACTTCAGACCTCAAGCTAGTGAGTCCAAAAAGAGTGTCACCACAGATTGTACTTGGTCATGCATGTGTACTCCTAATTATTAATTGAAAGTAAGAAGGAGGAACATTAACTGGCAGGATCCTTTTATTATTTTGAAAAGAGGCTACTGTAATGCTAAAGTTCTGTGAACTGCAGTGAAGTATTTTAAGACCACTCAGGGTACGCATAGTGAGATGAAATTATGTGAAAGCTAACATTATCTGAAGCGACATATGGAAAATAATATTGTGACATCCCTTAAAAAGCTGAACGTTCCGCCAGACTTCCTCTTGTCCATCTGTCATTCTTTCCATTGTTGTTTTTTTTCCTTTTGCATGGGCTATGCTATTATTTTTGGTTGTCGTGATTGAAAGTATTTTAAGGCATCTTTTTTACATCTTGTATGCGTATTTTTTTGTTTGAGTCATACTCAGCTTTTATATATAAAAAATAGTGTACTGGCCAGATGTATAAATGCCTTTGTTCCCGCGTAAGCTGGTATTGTGGTGTTCTAGAAAGGAGGGGCCGGGAGCCCCTGTGCTCCTCGGTCATGCTTTCTTCACATTAAAGGGATATTGCCTCATGGACAGATAACCTTATGAACTTAGCAGGGGTTGAAATCTTGAATTCTGTTCAAGTGTTTTAGTCCACCTCCTGTCAGTATATACTTTGGAATTTTAGCTGTAAACGTGTTCGTTCACATTTCTTTTGTGTTTGATGCCAGAGCTAGTCTTTGAGTTGGCGTGTAGTTTTGTGAGCTCTCCAAGTACAGTTAGAGCATGGATTTTCTTTCATTCATCAGAAAAGAAGAATGGGTTCTCTCTGGGCGAGTGTTGCAGTTTTAGGTAAATAGCTCCTATCTCTGAAGGGTGAGTTCAGCTGCTGTGCCCCAGCAGAACCTGTCCAGCCTTGGAAAGCACTTGGATCATTACAGCCTCGAGCCAGCAGAGGTCTGGCTACTCCCAGATGAGAACTGTGCAGATCTTGTCTTGCTCATCCGCCCATTCTCTTTAAAAAAAGAGAAGAAAAGGGGAGCGGGCTTAGTAAATATTACTTGTTTTTAAGGTACAGGAAACTTAACCTCATTGTGAGAACGTACGGGATTGGTTGTGTTGTCCATAGGAAAGGTACCTGCCCGCAAGTGTCTAGGTTCAGTTCCTTCTCTTGAAGATGGAAAGAGTGCTTTTCTTTTGTCTTTAATAGTGTTGTCAAATGCTTACTTGTATACAGCCAAGGACTCTTTGAGTGTCCCCTAGCCATCCTCAGGATAGCTCAAGACTTCCTATAAGTTCAATTAGACTGACTCATCTGATCTTCTCTTGACATTTTCTTGAAACAGGTGACACTTAAACACGGGTTTTTTTTTTTTTTTTTACTTGTCCTTGGTTGACTGTCGCTTCTTGTCTTGAACTTTCTTTATGCTGTGCTTTATCCTGTGCTTGTCTGTGATATTCTTAGTGAGGGACCGTGGTGGGTTTTGTTCTTAGGACCACGTTTCAGTGCACTTTTCAGACCTCTAAAGGCTGCTTGTTGACACACTGCATTATACCTGAAGGCTCTGTGGGACTTTTGTTCTGTTTCATGTTTTGCTCTGCACGGCCAACTAAAAGAACAATAGTTGACATTACTATTCTGTAAGGGACAAATATTTCTTGCTTTTTGAAATACTTTTAGACATCCATCTAGGAATGTGACTTCTCTGTAGAAGATCTGTTTTTATTATAAAACACATAAACATAAGCATCTTGGAAGAGTTGGTATTCACAGCAAGTGCCTGGGTTAGATGGCACAAGAGACAGTCCGGAGCCTTTTGGTAGGGTGGATCTGACTTGGAATCATTTTTGAATGTAGGGTTTTATTTCACAAGTTTCTAATACTGGTAAGCATAACCCCGTCTTGTGAGGTCATTTGCTTTGCTCCTCCGAAACTTGCTTGTAATACTAGCTTTAATTTGAAACGCCCGTCCCTTTTAATCTGTTTGTACATTTGAGACCAGTAACAACCAGACTCCTCGTTTCCATCTTCAAGATATGAAAGTTATTTTTCCACTTTCATTACCTCGTGCATTGTCACCAGTTGTCACCCTTTGAGTTCTTGCATTCTTGTGGTTATTGCTGTTCCCCACTGGTTCTTACCGAGTGCCGGTGTAGTGTGTTTGGGGCCTGGTTTGACAACACGGATAATTGTCCAGTGGTGGTGCTCTAACAGAAGGTGTCTCCTTTTCATCCCAAGTCACCTAAAGATATAAAACTATAATCACACCTTACTCCATAAACCACTGAAAGTAATTTATGCCCATAGCTCAGATACTTCATATGCTTCAATTTAAGAAACACACTATTTTTGATCTTTAGCATGCTGGAGTATGATACAGAGAACCTGAACTCGGAAGAAATTTATAGTTCTCTGCGTGGAGTTACGGAAGCCATTGAAAAGTTTAGTTTTCGAAGCCAAGAGGATCTGAATGAGCCAATTAAACGAGATGGCAAGAAGGACTGTGATATTGTAAGTATCCCCAGGCTAGCAGAGAACAGTATTTCAGTTAAGTGATAATTCTGAAGATTGACCACCGTGAATACTGAACTTCATCATTATTTTTATCTTGCAGTTAGAATAATATTATTTTAAGAGGCCCAAGGTAACTTTATAAAATTTTGAGTAACTCTCAGCTGTCTGTGAAAAATGTAAACTGCCTTTTTCTCCCCTGTTTGCTTTTGTTTATCCCGGACATATTTTTGGTCCTGTGACGTGATAAAAATAGTAGGCCTGAATCAGACACCATCGTGGCTTTCTGGAAGCTCTAGTCTCATGCAGAGGGAGGCAGATCCGTGGGAAATCAGTGGTGTGGTGGGGAGTGGTCAGGGCTCAGTACTGAAGAGACATGCTGGACCAGTCTTGGTGCTCAGGAAGGGTCAGCAGGAGAGATGTTTGCAGCCTTGGAGGTGCATGAAGCAAAGGGTCAAAGGGAGTTTGGACAAATAGGAGGGAGACCCTGTGAGAAAGCAGGGAGATGGCAGTGGGCATGGCATGATTTCCCTTTGTGGGTGGCTGATGTGGAGAGAGTGGGCATATCATGTGGGTGGCGAGGTTTGGGGAAGAGGCTGCAGAGGTTGGCTCAGGAAGGGCATTCACACCCAGGGGACTTTTCCGCCAGTGTCTTAACTTTACTCTGGGGTCAATGGAGAGTCTTTGAAGGATTTTTTAACCAGGGAAGCGGCATGGTCACACTTATATTTTAGAAAGATTACTGTCACAAAGAATGCCTCTGGAGGAAGTAGGGTTGGGGAGGGCATGAGCTGAAATACTAGAGTCAGAAGTCTCTGCCTAGGACTCTTAAGTGCTGGGGCAGTTTAGTGAGATAATATCCTAGAAGGAGAGAAAAAATGTATGTCATCCCCTTTGGAACACAGTGAATTCGGTTTTGAATGTATGTGACTTGAGGGACCTGTGGAATATCTGAGTATATGTATCCTGTAGGCCTTTGCAGGTACCAGTCTGGAGTTTAGGCTGGCCGTTCAGGCTGGGGATAGAGATTTGAGAGGCATTGACTAGTTGGCTTGACGATAACTAAAAGGTGAGTGAAATCAACCAAGTAAAGGGTAAGGACAAAATCCAAAGGATCATCAACACTAATGGAAAGATGGAAGAAAAGGAGTTGAAAGAAAAGCTACAGGTTATTGTGTGGGAGACCAGGATAGTGTGGTGTCAGAGAACTTAAGGAAAACTTTTGGGAAGGACCTTCAAGCCAAGGAGAGGGATCAGTCAGATGTGGAGTGAAAGGGCTCCATTGGATTTTTTTTTTTTCCTAGCTGCATTAAATATGACCAAGTGGAAATTGAATTATTGAGCAGGCTCAGAATTCAACATCTTAGCTGCTTGATGATCAGAGTGTTAGCAAAGACCACAGTGGATATAAAAATGCATTAAGTGTGAAAGATTTGGGAACTGGTATGTCTCTTTGGCTTGATAAGTGACTCAGTCTAATAAGACAGACATCTGTAAGGATGAATGTCAGATCCACTGGGAAGATGGCTCCCAAAAGCAGCAATGAAAACGCTCAACATGTGGGAAAAAGCCCATCTTTATGAGTGATTACAGAAATATGGTAAGCATACCTTTGAGGTTCAACTTTATTTCTAAATTGTTCCACTTTGTTTCGAGTAGAAATTAAAATATTTAATGCTAAAAAGGATATAAAGAACTAGTAGAATAGGGCGCCTGGGTGGCTCAGTTGGTTAAGCGACTGCCTTCGGCTCAGGTCATGGTCCTGGAGTCCCAGGATCGAGTCCCGCATCGGGCTCCCTGCTCAGCAGGGAGTCTGCTTCTCCCTCTGACCCTCCCCCTCTCATGTGCTCTCTCTCTCTCTCTCTCTCTCACTCTCTCAAATAAATAAAATCTTAAAAAAAAAAAAAAAGAACTAGTAGAATATTGGTGGCATGGGAACTTGATACAGTTGCTTTGGAGCTTAGTAAATTTAGCATAAGTGTTTTGTTTTGTTTTGTTTTTTTAAGAGAGAGAGAGTGAGTGATGGGGGTGGGTGGGTAGGGGGTGAAGGGGCAGAAGAAGAGAGAGAATCCTAAGCATGCTCCACGATCAGCGCAGAGCCCAGCATGGGGCTTGATCTCATGACCCTGAGATCATGACCTGAGCCAAAACCAAGAGTCAGTTTCATATCTTTTATCCGTAATATAACTTTTGACAATCTACGCTAAATAACAAATTCAGCAAAAGGAAAGAAAGTTATTTACAGTGTAGTTTATCTCAGCATTATCTATAACAAAACCCAGAAACATTGAAAAAGTAGAAGGGGAATAGTTGAGTAAATCTTATTAGAACACAAATGGAAATAGTGGTGTGAGTAAACATCGTGGTTACAAACAGTGTTTGCATGGGACATGCTTACACTGCGAGGAAAGCAAAATATGTGGGCGTGTATACTCTGATTCCCACTCCACGCAGTCTGCGGGAAGGGAAGGATGGGGGTAATACACAACTTTAAAAAGGAAGATCTTTTCTTTTGGTTTTTGTTAAAAGTGAATTAGAATTAGGATGGGGGTTAGCTTTATTTTTAAAATGTCTGAAGTTTTTTAAACCCTTTCTCCTAAATTTTTTCATTGTAATAGTATGTGTTTTACTTTGAGAAGAGAGTTACAAGGAGAAAAAAATTAAATTGTCCATGAATCATCTTCCTACCGCAAGAAAAGCCCAAAGTCTTATTTTGTTCAGGTCTACCCATGGATTATATATCCTTTTGACATCTTAACAGTTAGCAGAAAATAGTTTTTGGTGGTGTTAAAAACCAGATGCATCCCAGCTGTTCCACTAGGTGTGTGTCCAAAAGCATTAGAAGAAGGGACTGGGACAGATACTTGTACCCCAGTGTCCGTGATAGCATCCTTCACGGTAACCAAACTGTAGAGAAGCAGTCAAGTGTCCAGCAGATAAATGGATAAAGAGAATGTGATAGATGCATCCAGTGGAGGAGTATTCAGCCATAAAAAGGAATGCAATATTGACGCATGTTACAACATGAATGGACCTTGCTTAGACCAAGTGAAATAATTCAGAGACAGAAAGTAGAATAGGGGTGACCAGAGCCAGGAGGGGTGGGGAGTTATTATCTACTGGGTACAGAATTTTGGTTGGGGAAGATGAAAAGGTTTGCCCAACATACAATGTAGTGGTCATCGTTATACAGCATCTCGACTGTCTCTAATGTCACTGCATAGTACACCTGTGAATTAAATCATTACAATGATCTTTGTGTATTTTGCCACAATTTTAAACTGGTTTTTTTTTTTTTTTTGGCCACAATTTTAAAAAATGCATAAGCACAAAGTGAAGGAGATGTATCTTGTCAGCAGCACAAGTCAGACACGTGCCACAGCAATCACCCAGTGTGGTCTGGCTGCCTAGAGATGGCTCTACCATGGTTACATAGATGGTGGGGGTGAGGAAAGTGAGGGTTTTGCTTTGTTCCTGGCAGTTGGCCCACACTAGCTTGGTTATACTGCCGCCCTGCAAAGGGAGCCAGACAGGCCGGTCAGTGCTCCTCAGGAGAAGGGACCCCCTGGGAGTGAGGGGGGAGTCAGGAACATGACACAAGGGCCAAAGGACACCAAGGGTTTAATTTGTTAAGGACAAGTCTCAGAATATATTAGGAAGAAAAAGTTTCAGGAAATAGCAGCAAAGCCTATTCTTTGACCCAGCATAAAGCCCAGCTGAGAGTCACAGGTGTCCAGGGGGTGATTGGCCTCTCGGATACAGAGTTCTCCATTGCTAGGGATTGGTAAGCATTGTTTGGCTTTGGGGAAATATATACAAGGATATCCTGGATGGTTGGGCTGCTTTAGATCTTGTGGTGGTCTTCGGGGGAGCATCTCACATTGGTGTTGTGTCAAGGCATCACTGAGAAAATCCTGCTGTCCATGAAGAAGTGATGGGCGGCAGTGCTGGCACATGAGATTCCGGGAGAAATGTTTGGTTAAAAGTCATCACCGAGAACAAAGTAAAACAGACTTTACGTGTGAATGAATGAATGAAGGGGTGAAAACGTAAGCATATTCGGTTCCCGGTACAGTAGTTTATGAATTAGATGTTTGCAGATTGAAATCCTAGTCACTATCTTTCTGTCGGTGGCCAGATTTCAAGTGCAAAATCTGGCTCTCCTAATACTTGTGAAAAGTTAAAGGAAGAGTTTGTTAAAATCCCTAAGCGGGAACTGACCATGTGCTGTGCTGCAGGTGTCCCGCGATGGTGGAGTTGCCTCGCCCGCCACAGAGGGCCGGGGGGGCAGCGATGTGGTGGAAGGAGGCAGAACAGCTCTGGATAACAAGACGTCCCTCCTCAACACCCAGCCTCCACGCGCCTTCCCAGGGCCGCGGGTGCGAGACTACAGTCCGTACCCCTACTCCGACACCATCAACACCTATGACAAGACAGCTCTGAAGGAGGCCGTGTTTGATGATGACATGGAGCAGCTTCGAGATGGTTCGTCTTTCTTCGCTTGATTCCGTCCCCCCCCCCCCAATCCAAAAGTGCTTCCTGTGGGGCTTTCTCCTCTTGTCGGAGCAGCTCTGGGCCGACAGGGCAAACCTAAATGGACGTACTGGGTCTGTTCTGGTTAGCCTTTCACTCAGCAGCTGCTCACTGAGCTCTCCTACCTTGTGCTTAGGCATGGAAGGCACAACCGTGGGCGACAGTATGCACAGTGCCTGCCCCCCGAGAGCTTACAGCCTCCTCCCAGAGGCAGTCATGAAATCGGAGTCACACAGCTCACCAGAACTTGGAGCTCTGACACTGTGCGGTGAAGGCAGGTTAGCTGTGTCCATGAGGGAAGTCTTCCCCGAGGAGCCGGGGCCTGAGTGGAGGTCAGAAGCACGAGAGGAGTAGCAGTTAGCTACTACTGTTGGGGAGCAGAGGCCCCTGCTGCGCACTCTCCCAGCCCTGAGCTATGGAAGTGCGATCCTGTAGCAACCACTGAGAGGCTCCCTGCTTCTGTCACCGGCATTTTAACCAGGTCTCCCTGGAGCTGCTTTAGGTTGACTTCTGTCCTGTGGTTTGGAGAGAGGGAATCTGGCACATACTGAGCTCCTGTGTTACCATGTGCTTGCTGCTGAACTCAGTGTTTTACCTGTGTATCTAATGAGATAGAGGGGATTATTCCCATTTCACAGATTAAGAATCTAAGGGTTCGGAGAGATTGAATTACTTGTCCCAAAATATACTTGGCATGGAACAGAACTAGTCTGTCTTGTTTTGTTTTCTGACACTTGTGTTAAGACCCATTATCCATTATCGAGTAATAAGTGAGTCAAGTATGCGTTGGTGTGATGGTATTTTCATCAGGAACTTAATTATTTCCTTTTCACCTGATTGTCATGTTCACTTAATAGTCATTTTTTTTTTAAATTATATATATTCTCTTTGTTTCCAAACCTTTTGTGTTTTAATTTTGAATGGAGAATGAAATCAGAACCCTAAATTAGAACTCTAAACAGCATTCACTGTGTGTAGTGAAATGTGTAGCTTGCTGGGGAGAAGGAGGCCAATGAGACACAGTCCCTGGCCTCAGAGAACTCAAGTCCTGTCAGGGGAAACAGACTTACCACAGTGGCCCTGGAAATAGGGGAGTGCCACACTAGAGCAGATGCTGGTTTCAGTGGGGATACGAAAGAAGGAAGCCTGGGGGCCGCCTGGCTGGCTCCCTGACTCGGTCAGCAGAGCGTGCAGCTCTTAATCTCAGGGTCGTGAGTTCAAGCCCACGTTAGATGTGGAGCCTACTTTTAAAAAAAGAAGAAGAAGGGCAACTGTGCTCTCTCAGTGGCTCAGACAGTGATGGGATCCTAAGACAGCAGTGAAGTCCTTCAGTTGTCTCAAGGCACATCCCCTGGCTCTTACTTGCTGATTGCCATTGGGTATTGGCTCCTTAAATTCCCAAGGGATCCTAGTGTGTGTTTCTGGGGCCGTGGGCTAGGGGTATGATGGTTATTATGAATTGTCCTTTCATGGAATAGGGAGCTGTTTCCTTTCATTGCTCATAGAATTGATAACTCATTGAAGTTAACCCATTTGTAGCTCTCGTTTAAGACAGAATAGAGATTGGGCTGGGTGTTGGTTGTTATCTTTTCACCATCTGTATACTAAAAGGCTTAAAGGAAAAAAAAAAAGGCTCAAAGAGAAAGGTGGGAATGCAGGGGGGAAAGATCAAGTTCTTTAACATTTCAAACTTCCTGTGTGTGTTCCCCTCTCTTAGATGCTAAAAAAGAAAAGTATGCAAATACAAATTTAAGTAGTTTCTAATGATTCGTCTTTGCCTTTTCATCCTTTGTATTGAAAGGGACTCTTCAGAGTTGAGGTCTCTTGAAAGAACATGGGAAGAAAAAGGATGGTCTTCCATGGTTGAAGTCCCTGCGAGTGATTTTGCTAAGTGATCTTGGTTGGCAAGTTTAGTCTGTAAATAGTCCAAGAATAGTCTAAACATCTTGATTAGTATTTGTTTGCTCTGCTGGTTACTAAGCTCTGGATATTGGGGCAGGGAAGGGATGTCAGAGGATCAGATGTGACGGTGAGGAGGGCCCTGAGGAAAATGTGCGTGCCTTGGTGGGTGTGGTAGCGGGAGGGGCCCGTCCGGTGGCGGCCTGACTTGGGACTGCTGCGCTGGGGATAGACTTGGGGAAGGAAGACCGTAGAGGAGGGACTGTTAGATGGTCCCTCCTGTTTATCTGAAGTGGGAGGGGGCAAAAGATGGTAAGGAAGGGTTAAAGACGTAGATAATCAGTACTTGAGGCCTGTTCTCACATCTCTCTTTTCACAGCTGGGGAGGTGGCCTGCTGAGGGTGTAGAGGGTGAGGTGGTTCAAAGCAGGGTGGAGGGCATGGCAGCAGGGATGGAGGAGAAGCTGCCTCTGGGAGACGGGGAGCCGTTGGAGGGGAGGTTGAGCATCTCTGGGGGCGCGTCCCCAGCCGGGGCTTCCCTTGTGATGTGACTTGTCTCGGTGTCTCCCCAGTACCCATTGACCATTCTGACTTGGTGGCCGACCTGCTGAAGGAGCTGTCCAACCACAACGAGCGGGTGGAGGAACGGAAAGGTGCCCTGCTGGAGCTGCTCAAGATCACCCGGGAAGACAGCCTCGGCGTCTGGGAGGAACACTTCAAGACCATTTTGCTCCTGCTGCTGGAGACGCTTGGGGACAAAGACGTGAGGCTCTTTCCTCGTCCTTATGTGTCCCCCCTTGAGTCCTGTTCTCCTTGAGTTTGGCTTCAGCTTTACTTTCTGTATTGTGCCTACTGTTTACATCAAAACATTTTTCATATATTTTCTGAGCAGCAGTTAGTGAGGTCATGTTTTGGTCAGAGACAGGCCCCATTCCTAGCTTATTATATGCAAGTTTTTTCGGTAATCGGGTTTGTAGGACCTGAGGGAAACTTGTTCCTGCTTCAGGTTACCTTGTCTCACACAAAATTTCTTATGACTTTGTTAACATGGAATGTTTTTTTTACAATGAGCTCTTCCCCGTGTGAGTTTTATGTTTCATGTGGAATTGAGAAAGAGGCAAGTTCATTTTTTATTTATTTATTTATCATCTTTTTTATTGTTATGTTAATCATACATTACATCATTAGTTCTTGATGTAGTGTTCCATGATTCATTGTTTGTGCATAACACCCAGTGCAAGTTCATTTTTTAAAAGACCCTACTAGATGCTGCCTTCCATGAAATTCTGTGTAGGTTCAGCCCTGCATAGGTGAGCAGTTCCAGTGGTCTTCATTGGTCAAGCAACAAGTTCTAGAAGTATGGATTATTTTCTATTATCTTTTTTATTATTTTTAAAATGAAAAACGTGGCCCACAAGGCATTTGTACCATGCCTGGTCTGTAACCCACCCATGGTACCACGTAGATGACTCTCACAGAAGGGAGCAGCCTAGTTAGAGCCCTGCCTTCACCCATCTGTGCGCTGGTCCCTTATGTGGAGACAGCAGTAGATGTTGGGAATTGTCTGAATTACACTCTAGAAGTAAAAGTCTGTCTCTGTACTGGGCTTTGTGTAGGCTGGCAGAAACAACAACGAAGTAGGTGTGGTGAAGAGCTCAAGGGCAGGACTGGGTGGATTTGGGGGAAGCTCAACACAGCCCACGGTATAGGTCACACTCGGTCACATTGATGGGGACTTTGTTGGAAGACGGGTGCGCGTGGGGCTGGCGAGTGTCACGGTGACTGATTTCTTTCATGCTTCGGGTTAATGGTTTGGTGTACAGATAGAAGGACAGTGATGAAAGGGCTGTATTAACTTCCTTACACAGAGTATTGGCTGCTGAAGCCCGTCTGCTTGGTCAGCCTTCGTTGGTAGATAAAGTGATGTCACGTAGAGGGCAGGTGGATGGTGTGTTAGTGTGTGAACTGTACAGATGAGCGACGAAGAATCAGGATGTACTTTTTGGCTCTGTTTGGTATAAACCCCATTTTCTTTTATTGAGATTAGGAGTCTGTTTGAAATGGCTTTCCTCCAAATGGTGAGACTTGGGCCTCAGACAGCTCGAGGCATGTACACATCCCCTTCCCCTGTGATCTCATCACACAGAAGGTCGGGAGTAACGACAGGTCTGCGGCTGTCTTGAGTCCACGGTCTTACAGGTCGTGTTGATGAAATGGTTACATGCTTTTTACCTGTTCTTTTGTACATTTTACAAAAGGGTAATTTGCGTTATCTAAATCTCAGGAAATCTGGAAATCCCCCAGGAGATGGATAATGAACTTAGATGTATCGTCCTTGTTCAGTCTCATTTGGTCCTCATTTGGCTCATTCCAGAAACCTTCATCAGGTCCCTCTTAGGTGCTAGGCCCTGGGAATGTCAGCATAGGCACAGCACCGCCTCCTGGAGCTGGCCCCTCAGCCTGGGCCACCTAAGCAGTGGGACCTGTGTTGGGGTTCCAGCGAGGTTCCGGGGGAGCCCAGGGCTGGGCGCTTGGCTCTGTTGGACGCTGCTGGCTGGCGTGTTCACTAAAGCTCTGGGTAGCGTTTGCTAACGTCTTTCTTTCCTCTTGTACTCCAGCATTCCATCCGAGCACTAGCATTGAGAGTTTTACGGGAAATTCTGAGAAACCAGCCAGCCAGATTTAAAAACTACGCCGAGCTGACCATTATGAAGACTCTGGAAGCCCATAAAGATTCCCATAAGGAGGTGAGCCAGGCCTCTGGCCTAGGAGTGCTGAGCAGACGGGTCTGGGGTGCATTGAGGATGTGGGAAGAGAGGAGGAGCGTGGATCACTGTATGGCCCAAGACAGGGAGTCGCTGCCTTTGAGCTGGGCCCCGGGCCGTGATACAGGGCAGAGATCTCACTGCTGGTGTGACGGCTAAGCCCAGGTGCAGTTGAAGGCCTGGTGCCACTTGGTAGGTTCCTGATTCCCTTTCCACCTGTACGGAAACTGGCCTGTTCTGCTGACCTGTCCCTGAGGGATTTCTCAAGTCAGTGGTTCCCATTGCTGTGGGTCAGAAGACCGGGTGTAGGGGTCTGCCGTTTCCTGGTGGCATTCAGCACCCACCAGACTGGTGTTGGGAGATCGAGGTTGGCTTGGGAGACACAGATGTGCGAGTGCTAGACCCAGTTCTTCCTTGTTCCACAACTTCAGACAGGTTCTTTCAGCCTCCAAGCCTCAGTGTCCTTGTGTGTAAGATAGGGGTGTGGATATGGTCACAGTTTCCCGTGAGAACTAAATGAGAAGTCAGTGAGGGTTCCTGGCCCCGTACGTGTTGACAGAGGTGCTGCACCGCGTCGGTCTTCCTCACTCTCCTGCCCTCTCGTGCCCCTGTCTGCAAGATCTGGACGAACGGACGCAGTCATGTCATCTGCTTCTCCTCCTAGCTCCCGAACACATAAGGTGCTAGGAGACTGTCCTGGCACCTCAGAGGCCTACCAGGGAGCCGGAAGGACGTGTTTCTGTGCCCCGCACACTTGGAGCCGGCCGCGACTGGACTCAGTCAGTCCCCGTGCTTCCTAGGTGCCCAGCCCCCGTGGCTCACCAGTCCTTTGCGTGTCTAGAGACCAACAGGGAAGATGGATGCAGCTTTCTAAGTACAAGTGATCTCAGCAGCCGATAAAAGGCACTATGGAAAATAGGGCTATGTACTTAGAACTCTAGAAAACTTGAGTGGGTTCGACCCCGGCGACACATAACCACTTGTTCAGGTCATTCTCTCAGCTCCCACGTGACTCTCACAAGCACCCTCGTGGATTAAGGGAATTGCAGTGAGAGCAGTTCTTACATGTCTACAAAAAGAATCCAGACCCTAAATCCTGGTTTTTCTCTGTTTAGCAGTTATGTGGCTGTCAAACAGTGACAGGTCTGACCTCCTGAAATCCACCCCACGACAGCAGACTCATCAGAGATCTGGGTCTCATGCTCTGTATAGGCATCTCCACCTGATAGCCCTAGACAAAACAGGTTCGTAAGTGATAGACGTGTTTCAGACGGGATACCGTATGCTTCTGGAATCTGGCTTGGTTGTGCGATAGGGAAAATCACTCATGTTTGAACAAAACACTTTCCATTTACAGTAACTCATTTAAAAAATGTGAGGACCAGATGAGCTAATACAGTCAACACCATTACTCCTGAGCAAGGAAAGAGGGTCCAAAAGATGCTGTAATTTGTCAGGTAATATGTGGCAGTTATTGGCAGAACCAAGATGTGAAGCAGGTCGTGTGTCTCTTTTAAGGGGCAACTGGCCTGGCCGATGCTGGCTTTTTTTTTTTTTTTAAACCATAATAGCTTCTCCTTAATGAGAATACATGATCACAAAATGATGTAAGGGGTGGCTGGGTGTCACAATCGGTTAAAGCGTCTGACTCTCCGTTTCGGCTCAGGTCATGATCTGAACCCCGCGTTGGGCTCCACACTCAGCAGGGGGGAGTTGGCTTGAGATTCTCTCCCCATCTCCCTCTGCCCCTCCCACTGGTGCTCTCTCTCAAAAATATAAATAAATCTTAAGTAAAAGTGGTTTTTCTCTTTTTTTTTTTTTTTTTTTTATCAAAAATCTGAATTCTTTTGTTTCCTCAGGAGAGGACATACTTAGAATGTGGCATCAAGGTGAAACTAAGCCATCCAGAGTATGTGCCACTTACTAACTGTCCCCTTGGAAGATGTCTGTGTTTAAAGTCGGCATCCTGATCTTAAACTTTGAAACTTTGACAGTAGACCCTAGGAAGTACAAGTGAGCAGAATTAAATAGTCTGTTTACTATTAGCTGTTTTCTTGAGGGATCGTGCTTTGGGTTTTTTTTTTTTTTCTCCTGCAAAATGAGAAATTGAGGAGAGAAAGTTCTTAGGTGTAACGGCCTTTCAATTGCCTAAGGGACAGAAGCAGAAAATATCTGTTGCTTAAAGTAAACTTACCAGCGTTCAGTTGACATGGAATTCAAGTAACCCAGGGTCTGCACGCTGCTGTCACTGATTGCCTGATAAAGCAGGTGGGGAAAACACTGTGTTCCAAATAAAGGAGTGCCTGTATTGGCAGGTCTCCCCTGCTTTGCATACTTTCGTACTCACCTTGACTCGGTGCCCTTGTAGTTTTCCTTATGAAACTTCACTCTGTCACTTTGCCAGAAGCTCCCCACTTGGGCACCTGTGTGTGTGTGTGTAGGTTTTAGGTATGGTTTTTTCTTTTTCTTTCCCTTTGAAATTTTTCTAGTCTTTCTCGTATTTTAACTGATCTGTCTCCGTTCCCTGTTCTTGTGTTTTCAGGCAGAATACTTAGGTGCACATCAAGTTTGTGTGTAGCCATCTTGTTGGCAGAGAACATCGCACACGGTATTTCTCTAGTTACGTTTTCTCGTCACTACATTCGGGCGTTATTCAGACATTGATTGGGAAGGATCCAAAATGTTTCTAGACCCAGTGACTAATATTGGTCCTTCAGAGGCAAAGTCTGCTCTCCTAGCTAGTCAGTACTTCCCAAGTGGGGTCATTCCTTTGAGCGCCCCGGAACTTCCGTCCCGTAGGAAGCTAGTTGGTTTTGTATTCACAGACAGAGTCCAGGCTTTAGCAGGACATGAAGGACGTGAGACCCGGCAGGCTGGCACAAGCTGCCCTGAGACCTTAGCGGCAGATGTCCTCTCGTGCCCTCTGTGGTGGTGGCCACGCCACAAGGCACCTTGTGATGGCACCAGGACAATAGCAGTGAAAGAAGAGGAGTAGGGTAGGGCTATTGATAAGATGGCTTGTTTTCCCATCCTTTAAGCCAGGGTCTGTTTTCTCAGGGTCTTTTAAAAGGAACCGTGCATGTGAAAACATTTTTGCTACACACTGAAAGTGTACCAGGTACTAGATCTCGCTCAGGCATCACCCATCTTCAGCCAACACAGACTTGGTTAAGCACCATGGAGGATTTGGATACCAGTTTAGAGTTTCTATTTGAGACGTTGGTGTGGATCAGCTTAGAGATGTTTTCTTCGTGTTCCTTATTTGAATAAGTACATCTCCTTCATTGTCTAACTCCTTGTTTTTATGTTTTTAGTAAATAAACTTTGCTACAGAGTTTTAACGACTTGTTAATGAAGTCACTGTGGTTTTCAGGAGGGTTAGCTTGTATCGAACATCTCAAAGAGCTCAGCCTTGGTAGTGACCTTCAGAAATCTGAAGCCCATTTTCTGTTTTGAAAGAAAACATCGATTTTACCTTTTCTCCTCTTAGAATTTGCAGTCTGTTCAGGCTGGTGCTGATTCTCTCCTTCACCAGTGAAGAGGGGATTTGATAAGAGAATCGATGGTACAAACGAATTCTGGGGTCAGTGTGGTGGGGATGACTCCGGAGGCAGGAAATCTGGTTTTCAGTCCAGCATGTGTCCTGTCCAGCTGTGTTACTGGGTCTCATCACCTCTGTGTGACCCTATAAAGCATGACCATCACGAGACTCAAAAAGACATGACAGTGTGGACATGTCATATGCTCTATGAATATTACCACGTGAAACTGGTTTTAGACATCCTTATCTGTTTCAGAAGCACCTCTTTCTTTGTAAACAATTGATATGCCGATTATGAATCATTTTAGACACATTTGATGTAAGAACAGCTGTTGCTCCCAGGAATTTTGTCTTACATAAAATCCCCCAAATGTGGAAATGTTTGGTAAATGTTTAAAGTTGAAAGAAACACCAACTCTGTGTCTTGAAGATGTTCTATAATTGAAACTTTTGGATCGTTTCCTGAAGTTGCCCTTGCCCACATTAGTGATTATTCAGTTTTATTTGTCTCCTAGAGAAGAGAGTGTTAGCATCCTTTTATGTGCTGGACTGGGTCACCAAACATTCTTGCCATGCACAAAAGTCTGGGGCTTCCGGGCATCACCGTCCAGCCTTGGGTGGTTTGATTTGTTTGGGGAAGTTGGATTCTGAGATAAATATAAAACAGTTTTTTTCTTTTAGGGGTTTTGTTTTTAAAGCATTTCTAGTTAATTTTATATTTTATGATTTCAAGGAATTAAAAGTAAAGCCAGACCAAAATTATTTTAAAAATAAACATTTGGGGAACTAGCTTCTTGCTTCTGCTTTATCCTGCTGGTGTGGCGTGTCTTACGCAGTCCTTTTGACAAATAGGGCCAGAGAAAAGCAGCAGTGTGTCAGAGTGTGTCACGTTTTATTTTAGCAAGCGGATAATTCTCTTTCAAATACCAATTAAAATCACTAACTGACCACGACTAAACCCAGACCCTCTGCACTCTGGAATGGTCTTTAGAAGCCTCCCGGGGCAGCAGCCGTGTATCAGTTGGCCCTAGAGAACAATGCGTTGTGTGAACCTGGAGAAATTACTTCACCTCTCTGGACCTTGGTTTTTCTTACCTGTTAGCGCAGGGAGTGGACTAGATGATTATCTGTATCTCATCCAGCCTCACGGTACTAGAAGTTGCTATTGAGTAACAAACCTAAACCTTTGTAGGTTCTAAATATGTACTTTTTGCTTGATTCAGTCTTGGGATGTGGCTAGAAACCCGATTCCTTTGTACGTTTTTGCCGCTTAACAGAAAGGCAAAAACAGAAATCTATATACTCATTTAAAGGTTAGTAGTTGTCAAGCCAACAGTCTGACACTAATAGCACAAATTCTGGTAAATATTTTATTATTGGAGGCAGGAAGTGGGGGGGCAGGGGCCAGGGCTCCAGTCTTCAAAGAGCCCGTGGTTCAGTT